TCACATTACACACATTCATTTGAAGCTTGTAAATTATGTTTGGCCACTGATCGCACTTCATTTTAAAAATTTGATTCCAGCCGCCTTTGCTTCTAAAAGCGCTTTCCGTGTTCTATTTTTGTTTCATAATGCCTCATTAATTTATTTATTATTGAACACTTTGGCCCAATATGTTGTCTTCAAGTTGCTTGTTTTGTCTAACAGCTCAAAGGAATTCTCAAATCTCAGGTGGAACCAGCAAATATTTAAAGGAGCTAATCGATTTGTTATCAAAATGTTAGTTAATTGTCTGATTAAACTGCTTCATGTCACAATTAAGAAAAAAAAAAAGCAAAAATAACTAAACAAACTGATCAGGTTAACTTTTTAATTAAACCTTTTCCTCCTTGCAGATTGTCATGTTAGAGTGGATCTGATTGCAGCTCTCTGTCTGATAGAAAGTCTAAATTGGATTTCCTCTCCTTCATTAACAACATGGAATGTTTCTGGTTGTTTACCTGTTGTGAGCTGCTCTGTTGTTGTTTTGTTTGGCTCCGCTCGGTTAACGTCTTCTTCTCATGATTGCGCTTTAATGAAACAAAAAACAAACTCCAAAGACCCGTTTCTGGAAAAATGTATTTATTTCGTAAATAGAACCGCATCTTCAGCTATAAGACAGATTTACAGACAGGAGGACAGACGGACGAACAGACGGACAGAAACAGCATCAGATATCAGGGAACAGAAGAGCGATGGTGGTGGTGGCTTATTAATTGTCAGGTGCAACACGATTTACTGATGAGGAGGAGGGAGGAGGAGGAGAAATGGTTTCCACAGAGCACTGAGATGATGAGCAGCCTCGTGTCTGACTGGGCGATGCTGACTCACACAACATTCTGCTGCACTAAACTGACCGCTTGACATTTCAGTTTAGACTCCTGCTTTTTGAGCTGATTTGATCAAGGAACCCTTAATTTGATTCCAGTCTGTGCAGGAGCTTTTCTGCTCTGATGTCATCTGTCTGTATTCAAAACTTAAAAGACCGTAATGAAGATTTAGGTTGATCTTTAGAACAATTTATAGTTCAAATGACCACAAATTCTTAAACTGAATCATCACTCTTCAACCGGCACAAAGCTCTTTTAGCTCAGTTCGGACACAGATGGGCTGCTTTAATACGTGGACAGGATCTCTGAGAGGAGGAACACCTGTGGACGGACTATAAAACAGCTCACGGTCTCTTTTAACAAGATTTCCAATGAAAGTCAGGTGTTGCCTCTGATGGACGACATGAAGACCATCAGAGATCTGAGGTGTGATAAAATATTAAATCACTTGTCTGAATTATGTGGCTGAGTAATCTCCTGCTTCTAGAAATACCCCAGAGGCCTTGTATCCAAACCGCTGCCGCTTGCTCACATGACGTCAGCGCCACAGCGCTTTAGAGAATCTGCTCCTGGTTTCCACACATGATCTGTTCACAGCTGTTTGGATGTGAGCAAAACAGATGTGAAAACACCACTTTGGTGCCGCTTGAGAGTGAATTACTTCTGGCGTTTACATCTCGTCTGATTGTCTGGTTTGAGGTTTTAACCGCGGCTGGATGGTACTTTTGGTTTCTGCTATTAACCTGTGTGAGTGTGGAGACCCAAAGTGTTCAAGTCATAAACATTTAAGAAGGAAATAGTTAACTAAACTTTACTATGTGTTCAAAAATGTTGTAAAACATTATTTACCTCCACAAATTATCTTTTATTTGGTTGTGATAAATCCTGAAGTAGACTTTGAAAGGAAATGATGTTTTGGAGGAGGTGGTAGTTTCTATTTTTTACGTCACCATTTGTTTTAATTCTGTAAACACCACTTTTTTTGTGTGTTCATAAAGCTCTAGGAGACAAAAATTTGGAACTCTAAAATTTGAAAATAAAGCCCTCCTCCAGCAGAATCCTCTGTTTAACCCTTTTACTGCCCACATTCTGCTCCCAGCTTCGTTGCTCTTTAGATTATGACTAGAATCATCCAACAATTAAAATACACTGAATGGTTATTACGTCATTTTTGTCTAATGATGCCAAAAAACCTCTTGCCTACCCCAACTTTAACAGTTAAAAATAAATAAAAATCTGATTAGTCGTGTCATGCGGTGCTGTTTATTTAGTTTGGAACACTAAGGGTCACCACACTGAGCACAAGGGGGCATCAGATCTGCACTAACACTGCAGGTGTTTCTGCTCAGTTCTGTCTCACTTGCCTTTGGCAGGGAAGCACTAGACTTCCCTCCTCTGCCATCTGCTCGAACATATCATGCAGAAACTCAGCAGTGTCGCAGCACTGACGCCCCAAAAACACTGAGGTTAGTGGTTGTCTCATTTTGGTGATGGTTCTACTAACTTGGTTGATACATGTTTTTCCCTTTTTATTTTTCTACCAAATCTGACATCACGAGAGCTGGGTGATGATTCAGCGATGACATCCACTGACCTTTGAGCAGAATCACATCATGTAGCTGTGATCAATTCTTGTTTAATGTGATTATTTAGGGGAAAATTTGAACAAACTAAGTTTCATTTGAGATTGATATGACTAATAGGATGAACCACATCACCCAGCTCTGCTCATCATCGGTTTTAGACATTAAATGAAACAGGAGCTCACTTTAAAAAAAAGAAAAGAAAAAAAGTCTGTCATAAAAATAATAATTAGGTGTTCGGTGGAAGTTTTTCCTCGCTTGGATTCGTGCTGGCCGTCACAATATCTAGAAAATCCATTCTCCTTGTTCTGTGCAAACACAACTTAACCACTGCTGTGCTGCACCTCAGCAGGAAACAGCAGTTTAGGTAAAATCAGAGAAGTAACTCTGTACCGAAAAGAAAAAAAAAAAAAAAAGCCAACTTGACTCCTCAGGGTTTCACTGTTGATACTGTTAAATGTGCACAGAATAAGGACACTGGATTTTGTTGCTCACCTCAAAAAGAACTTTTTCACCAATCACCAACTGTTTCGGTTCACAAAGCGACACGAGGGTGGTGCTGCTTTAGGACACCACGTGTAAAAAAAAAAAACAAAACAAAAAGTGAACCTGATAGAACTGTACTCTCTGTGGTAGTTAAAGGGAAGTTTGTGAGATCTATGAAGGTCTTCTTTAAAACATTGCTTTGCACTTTTATAAATCCAGATACAGATCACAGGCGTATCAAGGTAGATAATTTAATAGCAGATATGAGGTCAACTGGTTAAAAATTGGAAGCGTCCTTTTGCTCTTTTAAATATCTTGGAACATCCTGTTTACAGATACATTGATATGTAAGAAAAGTTGAACACAAGCACAGAAAGAAAAAAAAATATTGCAATAATAAATAGACACTTCCACTGGCAGGTGCACCCGTGTGAACAGAAAGGAACATATGTGTACCATATAGAAAACAAACATCAAGGATATTCAATGAACTGACCGACAACAACAGAACAGGCTCCACTTTTGAAGCTCAACATCTTGAACCTCAGCAACGCAAACATCCTGTGTGAGCTGAGGCGCGTGCCGCTTTACTGCTGTGTGGATGTCAAGTTTAAAACGGTTGTCTTAAAGGGTTTCTACGTTACACTTCTGTCAGGAACCTTCTGGCATCATCCTCAAAACAAGAGCCGTCGCAATGTTCTTCATTTCAGCGTATTTTGGAGCAGCAGAGAGGGAAACCGAGCGGCAGAGAGATGTGACCTTTGACCTGCAGGCGGCATGTGGCTGCTGAGATTATTCAACAAAGCTACATGACAAACTCTACTTCCTTCAACCAACATGGCTGCCATGCAAGGAAACAGAAAAACTTCAACACACACACACACACTTCAACAGCTGGTGGAGAGAAACACACACACATACACACACACATGGCAAAAACAATGTCACAGCGAACACATGAATTAAATGATTTCAGTGGTGACAGGTGACAATGATTTTTTTTTGTTTTTGTTTTTTTTACAGAAATGAAAACCAATATAATATGTATTCGATATGTGATTTGTGCAAACGCCCTGCTTTTCCTTTCCTATCTGCTCAAAGTGAAATATATTTATCTATCTGAATATAGAGACATTCTGCTGTCTGTGTCGACATGCATCAGCCGCGATTTGGAAAAGCATCTCACCGTTAAAGCCATTTCTGTCCCACTTAAAATAAAAACGGTGCCGTCGTCTGATCGGAAACAAAGCGCTCCCTGATCCTCGTGGTCTTTTAACGCTGAGATGCCTCTGGTCGTCGGGCTGATTGAGAAAAAGGCATTCAAGGGGAATGAGTACAAAGTAGCAACAGGCTCAAACAGCTTCCATCTGCAGTACCTTCAGTAATCTCTCAATAATATAACCTCTTCAAAATGTATGGCTTTTTAAACATCCGGCCTCTTTCCGAGCGACACAGCGGGGAGACAAGAGGCCTGAACAGTCAGACGAGAAAGCAGCACGAACAATAACAAGTCTTCCTAACAACAATATATAAGCTTCTGTACAATCAGGCACAAAAATAAACACTTTTTCTTTCAAACTCCAGTCGGAATCCTTTGGTCTTTGGTACCACAGCGGAGGTGAAGCTCCGCGTACAGTATTGAGAGAGTACTGCAAGTCTGAAGGAGACAAGTTAGCAGAACCTCTGGGTCAGGATGGTTTTTGGATGCTACAGGACTGTGGGCGGTATAGCTTTTTCCCTTTCAGTCTGAATGAGAAAGAAGGTGCAGCGGTGGGGTCTGCAGCTGAGAGACCCCCGCGGTGGAAGTTTACGAAGCAGTTTCTGGAAGCAACGTGATGTCGAGCTGGCCGACACCTCTGAGGTGTACTCATAACGCAGTCTGATTTTGCTGAGCTTCTGCCCCGGTGCTACATGCAGGATCTTGGTTTGTCAAACCGTCTCGGACCACCGCTGAGGTGGGTTGACTTATCCAAACCAACTGGGTTAGGGTACCTTTGTAGCAAAAATAGCAGACAGACAGGAATCTCCATCCTGTGTCTGATCAGACTTAGAAGGTCTATTTTACGCCAGTTGCAAGAAAAAAATGTTTGGCAACTGATCTGAAAATGAAAAATAAACAGCTTTGTAAGAGCTCATGGACCTAAGAGCTGATCAGACAAACTTCAACCATTCAAGACACTTTTAAAGGTAATGAGTTCCTGTAAGGTGTTTTCAGGGGATTTTACAGGACTTGCTAAAACCTGGATCTTCTGACATGAAGCACTGCAGCTCCACAGATGTCAAGCCAGGCTGACTTGCATTGCATGTTTTATTTTCTTCGATGTTGCAGCTCTCATCTGATCTTCTTGTCAGCCTTTCTAAGAATTGATTTGCTCAGGGACACAACCTGGTGAAGGATAAATCAACCTGCGGCATCGAGCCAAGTCCTTAGGTTTCTTATCCCGTGTGTGACTGCGATGAATCCAGCTGAGAGTGCACTGACTTTACACTGAAGAAGGTTTACAAAATGGTGGAAGGGTGGATGGGGGGGGTGTGGGTATGGTTGATAGCGGAGTGGTAGTTCTCCCCCCAGGTCTGTGTGTTTAAAGTCTGTGGCGCTGGGAGTCAGCAGTGGGTGGCCTCGATGGGCGACAGCGTCAGGATGCTGCGATCGTTGGAGTAGAAGTTCTCCGTGTCGCTCCAAGACCTGAAAACAGGCAGCAGTGACTGACGGTTAGGAGACTGATGCAGTGTGTGTGTGTGTGTGTGTGTGTGTGTGTGTGTGTAGCTGCCACTAACTAGCACACTGTTGTCCAAAGGTTTGTGATTACAATCTACACAGCCTGGCTGGAGGAAGCAGAGGGGAGTGAGGGATGGATGAGGGTTAGTTATGGGTGTGATGGTGTTAGTGATGAGCATCAGAAGTCTCTCCTCGTTAACTTAGTATAACACTGGCTTCTTAGGGAAGACCCAGTTTCAGAGAATTCTATTTGAAGACATTGTTTTAGGCAGTTATAAGACCCTATGAGAACACAATAATATTTGCTAAAGCTTAAAGGCTTTTGATTACTACGGCTACCTATTACAAATTTCTATTACTCCTGTCATTGTTGTTTTCATTCTGAACTGAGGCTGATGGGAGAAAAAAAGTGATATCACCTATTTATGTGCATCAATCAGGTTTCAACTGAGAGATGACGGTTGTGGGGTTAAAAACACACCCACACAGGATGTTGTACTTTCAATTTAGACAAACAATAATCATATTAAAAATATAAAAACCATATCAGGACAACGCTATTTAATGAGAAATACCTTAAACAAAGTTTTAAGGCTTCTAAAATATGAGTGCTGCTACCTGGAATTGAACTAGAAGCCAGTTTAAAATGGAAAATAAGCACCTACAGCTGACAGAATCCAGTAATCTAAAAAAATAACTATTGACAGGCATTTCAATTGCATTCAGTGAAGTGGGTACAATAACTTCTGCTTATTGTACCACCACTGCTGCTCTGTATGAAACAAACAAACAAGAAACAGCATCACCAATCGCTGCACTGGGTACGTCTGGAAATATTGCAACTCAAGGATCTAATGAAACCCTGATAAAGATCGTACAGATTTCAGGCCAAATAGAAAAGAGAAAGAACCTAAGTATGCATAGAAACACTATCTTATCTAGTTAATATCTGTTCCACAAAAGCAGCAAAGCACAACAGTGTGCTGCTGCTGCTGCTGAGACACTTCTATGATTATAGTCTTGATAAAGGTGTTCAGGAACAGAGCTTCAGCAGGTGAGAGATTGGCTTCTAAAAACACACAGTTCCTGCTGTAGAGCTGTTTAGATATTTGAAGCTGCTTTCTTTTATGGATCTGCCTTCTTTGTTCTTTGAATATTTGAGGTGAGACTTGAGCTACTCAACTCATGGATATAAATCAACACAATTACCATAAAGAGAAAGAAATTATGGTTAACAAGCATCAGCAACATTCTTGCCTCATTGACACACTCAAAAATAACCATCAGTAATCAATTTCCTGCAGGTAGAATATACATCGGAAAGGTGTGGTAGCTATTTCAATATATTTGCTTTACTAGAAAAATAGGTATTATACTGCACCATGTTCAAAAATACTAAACATATTGTATATAATATACAATTTTATATTCTGTATTTTGATTTAAAGATATGATTCCTATTAGCTTAGCATGCTGGATCTCTTTTCACACAGTCGCATTCATTTTTAGACCGCTGAAAACATTTATGGATTAAGAGACGAGTGTTGGGCTGTACAAGAAGAACATGGGGACATCCTGAAAGTCACAGCATGCCGCCGTTTAAATCCTCTGTTAAAGGTCACAGCAAACCAACCTCCACGGCGCTGACTCACATCAAAGTTTAACCGGAGTAGATGATCAGAGCTTCCACCTCAAAGCACTAGCAGGGGAGTAGCAGACTGACTGCGGTTCAACAGCTCTTGAGCTTGAACAGTATCTCCATTCTGACTGATCCACCTGATCTTCCCACGACAGCAGGAGCGAAGCCTGAAATGTGTAATCACTTCTGTGTTTCTGAGCGGAAAATATGACCGGAGGAGAAACGGCTAACATCTCCAGCCACAATTCATTTTAAATATCAGCTGTTCTAGTCTGAACAATTCTCATAACCCTTATTTATCACTGCTCTCTGTGATGAAGACAACCGTTTTAAGACCTGTTAAACAGAAAAAACAGGGCCACCCAGGGACTTTAAATAGGCTCATGACTCAAATGGTGTTTTGACTGGAGGCCCTCTCAAACGCTACCACACTGGCTCGGCTGTCTACCAGGGCTGGGGTCAAACGGAAACATCTCAGTGCTAAAACCATCTTTGCTCCCCGGGTTACGACAGACTAAGAGGACATTAGCAACCGAAACACTTTTGGCACAAGCCAGTGGGAACATGAACCCAAGAAAAGAACAGAACAGGCAGATTTCTGACAAGATCAAGCTCACAGGGGACGCTAACAGCACATGAATAATTAATCTGGAAGGTCGAACAACATTATGCAGATTTCAGACACGGAAGGACAAAGACACAGTGAGGACGGAAAGAGACAAGTGCAGGAGGACGGGGAGTGTGTGAGGGGGGCACAAATACATACAGGTTTACATTGTATACAAAATACCAAAAGGCAACAGCAGCCCCCATGCAACAAGACAGAGTCTGGGCATTCTTGTTTTGTAGCTTCTAGTACACAGGTGGAGTGGAGTTCCTGTAATTTAAACCTGTAGAGAAGGGTAAACTCCACCCACCTGGAACCACCCCCAGTTATAAAACAAGCACGCCCTCAACATTGGCCTCTTCTCAGAAGCACATATAAGGCTTCAGGATCCAGTAGAAAAAGATTAGTAGATACAGCGAGTAGCAGAAAAAGAGACTCTTTGAGACTACACTTCCCAGCAGCCTCTCTGGTTTCAGGTATGGTCCCCTTGTTCTAGGGGAAGAGGAGTAGGAGGCAGCTGAATCTCCAACCAATGTATTTATTTATTTTTTTCCAAATTAGAATGAAGAGTTAAGTTAGAAAAGAGAAACAGATGACTTAAGTTTAATAAGTTTCCAGCAGTCAACTAGCTAGGATTAAAGAATTAAATCTGTAGTTAAAATAATCAAGTAGGACTGTTCAGCTTTGTTGCACCACAGCTCACAAGAGTCTTCAAATGTTTATCTGTCCACAAGTTTTTTTAAAAATAAGTATATGGATTTATCTGTGCATCAAGCTACTGTGGAGGACATGTCTTTATTTCCAACGGCACAATGTCGTGTCAAAAGATCTCAGTAAAAGCTGCTTGACTACTGGATGGAGACTCAGCTGCCTGGGTGTGACAACTATACATGGGTGCCTATCTTGTTTATTATTAAAAACATCTCGGACTCCCGACATCCGTGTCAGTTCCTGTTTTGTCGCTCCTAGCCGTGATTCAACTGCAGCCAGCATTCAGTGCTGCAACAACAGGCCAAGTCAAACAGCCGACTATAGCTGGGCTTCCAATAAATATCAGATAAATACTTGAAGTATTATATAAGTTGTAATTATGCTTGCTATATGTCCTTTCCAGTCATTAAGCATAGAATACAGGAATGGGTGGATATATTCCCTTTCCCCTATGGCAGTATCCTAGCATTAAGGCCAAATGTGGGCTGAGTCTTGCCACTTGTTCAATCGTTTTTAGTAGCTTCCTGCATTATTTCCTCAAACCCAAAAGGTGAAAGAGAGGGACAGTAGGGACGGACAACAGTGTGTGGTAGGTTGAGGGTAGGTTAAATGGGGTGAGGAGAGGATAGAGACAAAAAGATAGGAGGGACAAAAAATAAATCTGAAGATTCAGCCCCAATTCTATTAGTCGACTATGTTCGTTCTATTTACAGCATAAAGCACACCTAAATATATTGTCTGTGTTGTTCATTGTTGTCGTTTATCCTTTAGGGAGTACAAATTGGCTGCTGTTTGCTCACTTGGAGGAATCCAATTGGCTGCTTCGTGCCAAGGTCAGAAAACAGATCAATCACTCCCACAGGAAGAAATGAATCTAAATTGAATCATGCATTTAGTGGCCATTTTAATCGGAAGCAAAAGGGTTCTGTTTCTTTCAGTGGAATGACCCTGAGTGGATTATTTTATGGATGATATCCCACCTACAAATGTGTAAATATTGATGCATAGGAGCCAGTTTACGCTCTCCACTGGCTGAATTGAAGTTTAAAGTGATTATATGATGCCAAAGACATTAATTATTTCCACCAGGGCCTAACGCATTTTAGAATTTGTTATAGAGAGACATCATTAACAGCTACCTGTAATTTGATGTCTCTACTATGAGACTGCTCAGAAGAGTATTTTCCAGATCTGACGGTCTGTGGTTGCGTACAGAACGTGTTATCGCCGAGAGTGTGCAGGTTGCTGTCCAGAGGGGCTGAAGGGAGGGTTGGGAGCTACAGTGCATCCCTTATTTACCTTGCATGCTGTCAGTACCTCTACAACAACACACACAGTCACGAAGAAACAAACATGCGTGCCCACACCACCCGTGTCTGTGCAAGGTCTACTGCAAAAGACTTGCACATAAAGAACAAGAATGCTACATCTTCATTACTGATCTAATCAATACTGAGTGTCCCAAGCTGTTTTGAAGAGTATTGATTGCTCAGCAGAAAGGGCTGATCAGGTCAATTAATCAATGACCCCCACCGAGTCACTGGGATCCAGGTAAAAAGACACACACTGAAACTGCAGACTGAGCAGACCAGCAAACTGTGAACTCAGCGTACCGGTCTATAAAGCTGCACTAGGCACAAGCCTTTCTGACAAAACTGTTGATGTTTTATCATCATTTATCACAAAGTGGACCTGCAGCATTGAAGAAAGAATCAATCTGCATCAGCTGAGCTCACTTTGTGCAGTAAACTGACATCATGTTTCATTATTACTGTGCACTGAAGGCCTTATATTTCAGTTACGGCTCACCGTCATCTCGGGCCACCAAAATGCAAAATCGCAAAGTGCAGCTTGAAAGCCAAGTTGCTACAACTTTCCACTTAAGAAGTGCTTTCATAGCTCTTCCATCATTGGTTAATACTTAATGTGTATACACATTCTCAGTACACATTTGGTGTTTATGATTTCAGCTAACCATTTATCTGGCCTAGACACAAGTGGAGTAGACCTCCAATGGACAAGAGGATCTACTGGACGATACTGGAGTCAACCTAAAGCTAACAACTTATTATAGTGGTGGTGTCGTCCCATAAAGTGCATTAGAGATTAGACAATTTTCATTGAAAATTGACTAGTGAGGCCGCCCGTTTGGAGACCGACCTTTGATTTGAAGGGAGTAACATAGAATGTATAGAAGAGACAGAAAGAACAACAGAACATAGCATATGATTAAGACACAGACACATGGGCTTACAGACAGACACGCCCTTACATATGAGCTACACAAACAAGACATAGTGTAGTGTTGAGACCTGCTCAGTGCCTGTATAGTGCAGAAACAGAGCATTGAAAGGACCCTAATAAAACTACCCGAACTGTCCCTGGCTAGACTGCCCAACAGCCACACCTGCATGCTGTGTAGAAAGCATGGCCATCGCAACCTAATCGGTTGTTGGTCTCTACAGTTTTGGTTACAAGGAACACTGACATATTTCTGGTAATACACTCCTGTAGACATGAGATGAAACACAACATTCTGTCTGGGTAATCAAAACGTTCAGACTCCAGACTCTCCCAACATGGACACTGATGGAAATGAGAAACCCATAAAAGTAAAGTCCATGATGGCTTGATCCACAGATCTTCAGCCTCTAACTCCTCCTTTGGCTGCCGTCCCAAAATCCTGCTAAGCTGCACCCTAAAACCAGTCTCAGTGACCCTCTGAAACCCAGCATCCCCACAACCGTATGTTCAAACTACTTGAATCTGAACAAGAGAGACTTACAGTAGAGTCGTAGTCACATTATGGGCTATAACAGTCAGAACTGCAGCCCAAATTTTTGACACCAAGTGATGGTGAGGGTTCGTCAGGATTCATAATCATTGTTTCTTGTTGTCGTCGTCCTCCCCACCTGTTGCTGCGGCTGGATGCGTGGCAATTGTTGGCGCTGGCCTTGCACTGTCCGGTCATTTGCTCCAGGAAGTGGGCCAGGCGGGAACAGCCACTCTGCCCATGTTGGTAGCAGCACAGGGACTCCACACAGCTGAGGGCCTGCGCCTGGGGGGCTGATAGAGACTGGAGGAAGGTGGTGAAAGAGCAGGAAAAGAGCAAGACAGGGTGAAGAAAATAGTGGTATGGAAAGTTGGAGAATGGCATAAGGAGAGTCAGTGAAATCACAGATAAGAAGAGAGGACGAATGAAAGAACAAAAGACAAAGGAAGCAGAAAAAGTGAGTGGAGGAAGAGAAGAGAAGACAAGAGTATGAATTAAAACCAACATGATACAGGCCGACTGTTTTTTTCTGACAGGATGATAAGGGCAGCTGGAGGATGACAGAAAGCATGCTGTCACAACAACAGTGATGTACAAGGAAAACATTGGAAACATGCTAGACAGGGGACTGAAATGTTGCAAATAACAACATAAATCATTAAACCTGTAAGCAAACGAATCTTTTTGGAAACAAACCAAAAAAAAAAAAAAGAAAAAAAAGAACGCAAAATGATAAATCAAAAATGACGTGCAGTATAATTTCGGGTGGTTGTAAAGCAGATTGCATCCTTGGCCTTCTTTGGAAACAACATAAGACTGAAGAGCTGAACAATTACTCTCAGGCTATAAAACGATTCATGTTAGGGATGCAAATCTTGAATGGTTCCCTTAAGCCATGGTTGGCCATTTTGAGAATTAATAACCGATTAATAGCAGAGACGAATAAAACTGGATGTTTTTCTGGTGAAAGCGTTTTTCACCACTGACAGGGAATGTTTGCTGCAAATTTAACTAGCAAACAATAATGACATACAAAAACAATACTAAATAGAAACTTGACAACATCCAAAGCATCCCTGTAAATGCAACAAACAAGCTGCAGTCTTCCACAGTGAATAACCTGTAACACCATTAATCTAGTCACAGCGGTGTGTGTCAGAGTACTCCTACAGCTGATCTACATGATGGAGTGTCTGCTCACTGTAGTTAATGGTAGTCCGGCTGCTGGAAACAGCTGCACCGCTAAAACAGATGTACACAAATACTGTCGCAGCAATTTTATCAGTCCAGAAAATCTGTCGGTATTTACTGCCTCCTGTACAATGTATTTATATTCAGAGCAGTGTGTTGCTGATACGCGTCAGTTTGAATGTTGCTGGAAGAACGTAACGAGTCCTGCTGCTCTTGAAATTACAATTAGAACTTCGATGTGTATTCATTGTATGGAAGCCTCGAGTTCAGTCAGCAAACACACCTGTAACTCCATCTCATTAAAAAGTAAGATGCACCACCTGGTGGCGCAAATCTACAACGTCTTTTTACATTTAACCTGCTTGTCCTTCATTCTCTATATTTCTAATCCATTAAATTATCAATGGCAATTAAGAATCTTTAATATCCCTAATTCAGATTATGTATTTACCAAATATCTTCTTTTTTTTTATATTAGAAGTTTCTATAGGTGTTTTTTATGTTTATAATAGTGGGTAGGTATCTTATGCAAGCTACAGTGTGCAACATTTACAGCCAAGTAAAGCCATTATAATTGCTTGGGCACCTCAGAAGAGTACCCGTTTGCTCTCAGATGTTTAAGTATTGATAAGCGGGTCAAAGCAATACTAACAAGAATCTACAATCCCCTCTGGCGGTAATTTCACTGCAGGAGGTCAGGATGCACCTCTGGTATTATAATACGATTTCAGAGTGATCCTTCAAGGCTAGATGAGCCGTCTCTCTGTTGCATGGCCTCTAAAGCTCAGCTCAGGTCTTTCTGCTGGGCTGTCATATTTGTGATGGATCACTCAGCGTCCAATCCACATCCTTCAGCATATAAACTAACCATGAACCAAGGCCAGCTGATGTGACTCATAGGCAGTAATTTACGCCAAGCTCTTTTTTTTTTTAAACTTCCTTTCCCTAAGAATGGCATTTTATTAATTCGTATTTCATCATCTGTTCAATTAATTTCCTTTCATATATGTGAAAACTAATATAAAACTGCAAAGTATTTCCTGTGTCAACGTAGAAGCTGATGAGCAGTGCTAGGAAACCTCTCACTGTTTGAATAATAAGGCTAAAAATAGAATTTGAGACTAATCAGATTTTTCAGAGAGCTGGTGATGCATGGGTAGATAAAGCTGAATGAAGTTGCTGCCTTGGAACCTGTGGGATCAGGTGGCTCTGTTTATCTGAGTCAGCACCTGAGAGACGGTGTGTGACGGAGAGGAGACAAAGAGGAAACAGAGACAGAGTGGTGTGAGGTTACACTCATTTAGTTTGCATTGTGTACCCTCCTTTTGTGCAGCCTAACAGGACAGCAAATTTTGAGATTAACCACTGATTTACATTAGAGACCCACCAGGTTCTTGTGAGTTCAGGTATTATTTGTTGAGCCATTTGTCGAGATTAAAAACGACTCTTGGGTACAGAAACATATTGTCCTCTCAACTACTTGAGTGCCACTGAAAGTAAAGTTTCAATGATGTAAAGCATCTTTCAGCATAGGCAGAGCAAAGTAAACACTAGGTTATGCTGTAGAATCAATGAGTCAAAGCATTTCCCAAATTTGCTTTTTTAGGAAACAAATTTTAAACTTTCTTATTTGATCATTTCATTTTTCATTTTCATTTTAGTCTCCTGTAATGTAATAGAAAACTGTGCTTTATGTGTGACCCATGGATTCCACAGTGCTCTGACTTATGATGCTGCTGTTGGTAGATTTCTTAGCAGCAGAAATTGGAGACACTGTTGGCAAGAAACCAGACTTCTGCTTCCTGGCTGGTAACAGCAGAACACATTCAGTTTGATCTCTCTATGAATTATTCTGGCACTGTCAGGTGCTCCAAGGTTTTGAGGTTCTGCCTCTATCACAACAAGTAGCTGCTTTTTTTTAGGTGTTCTTGTTGCTGTTTTTGTCTTTGAAAAAATGCATACAAATTTATTTGTGTCGCTATAACATAAGAGTCTTCGCTTCCACCATAAAGAGGAAAGCTGAGGCTGTGATTTTTCCAAACACAGAATTACTTTAAACCACAGAAAAAGCCAACAAGTCCCAGCTGTGGCTTTAGTAATGTGTGCGAGACCAGTGCTTGCTTGTTGGTGAAATGTCCTTGGTGTTTCTATGCTGGTATGACCATATGGGTGATAAAAACTTTTCATTACAATGACTGATTTAGCTTGCTCAAGCCAAAGAACCACTGCATAGACTGATGAAGCAGCAATCAGTCACCACAGGGCTTGTAATTCACAAGCATCCACTTATAGAAGAACTGTCAACTGAACTGGTCTCTGTGAACTCCTTGGTTCTGTCACCTTTTTAGGTTCTAAGAAGCAGCAGTCAGACAATGCTCACTGTAAATCCAGGCTAGTTCTATGGCAATCTTTCCTTTTTAGACTTTCGCAGAAATGCAAGAATTAATTGTGTCGTGAAAAAATGACCAATGACAGCCAGATGGGTGACATCACCCTTTGGTTGATTATATTAGTTAAAGAGTTCAGCTTGGTTATTGTTTGCTGTCCTTTTATTTAGCACAATATTTTGATGGTTGAACACGGAAACAAGATAGCAGAGTATCTTTAGCAAGATCTAACCTGTAGTGCACTTTGGTTCTGCGCAAGACAATGTAACAATCTTGGGTTTTTACTGTGATATATGGTGGTCACACAGAACATTGTGTGTGGAGAAAGCAAAACATTGAAACAGTTAAATTATGAAAACAAAAAAAATTATACTTCATACTTTAAAAGGAATTACTGACACTGTCAAATACTTACAAGCATTCAATGATCTATCATTGAGTATGGTAGGAGCAGATGGTTGAATGAAAATATGGCAAAGACAATGAAGTCAGCATGCCAACAGCATTCTCTCTCTGCCTAAGCTCTAAACCCATACCTGATCAATAACAGTGAGGGGTGAATTGAGACCGGGTTAGGGAAAGGATGGGCACAATCATGGTTGGGTAAGGGAGGACAGGGTCAGTCACATCTGGGCCGGGAGGGATGAGGTTATTCATTGGAAGGGTAAGGAAGGATGGAATTAATTATGACTGGGTGGGAGAGCATGGGGTCATTCATATACAAAGTGAGACTGACAGAAAGACATACAGGAATAGCATTTTTACATATGAATATAAGGGCAGTGTGGGGAGCAGCTGTGACATACAGCCATGAGGTAACAATCAAAAGGTGCAGATTGTTGGAACCAAACATAAGGGCATGTGCAGTTGACTGCAGCTGTGAGGGGGTGAACAGGGTTGGTTGGTCCTCGGGTGAAGCCATAATGCCAGGGCAGTGACAGCACGAGGCGGACAATGGGAGTGAAGTACATGTATGGTACTACCTAGGGGAGCATGGGTCTGGGCTGGGGGCAGCAGGGGGAGGATAAGCAGCTAGCAGGTGCCAATTGTCCTCCCCTGGGCTCCGCTGGGCTTTAACAGGGTCATATTCTGGGCCGACTGAACCCTCACCCTCTTCCATCTGAAGGACACAAGATGCTTACAGTGAGCCCTGCTGACTAGTCAAATGGCTCATCCATCAGTCAACCAGGGAGACTGGTGGTAGGCCAGACACTGACACAGCAACATAACAAATCACACTGCAAAAAATATCCATCTTAGTCATTTAGTCTTATATTCATTTGATCATTTGGATGTTTGGCTCAGAAAAGGTTATACTTGTTTTAAGAATTTTCTAATATCAACCCAATGTGTTAAAGCATATTCTTATTTCAGGATAGTGTGCTCAATTTGAACAAATCCTTATTTTGAGTTTATTTTCATATGATAGTAATTAGAAAGTCCTTTACAGCTGGACATATCCTACATTTTCTGATGAACCGACTGAAAAACTAGAACTATGAGTACAGAGGATACGTTTTGTAGTGTTGCTTATTCACCAATTAGCAGAATAATTAGTCAGTAACAAGCAGTCAGTTAGTCAGTGAGTCAGTCCACGCTGCACTGTAGGGGGCCAGTGAACTGACCCTCACTCTACAGTGTTCTCTGATATACTTGTACATACAGTACACAGAGAGCAAAGCGATGCTGGTCCTTCACAAGTGGCCTCATCAACACAGCAACTGAGTTGGCAAGAATCTTTTTTGGCTTACAAGGCAAGAGATCAGCTGGTTCATGGTTTTTGTGCATCTCTGGTCTTATTCCCCTGTTGCAGACCTGAACCGCATTTTAATTGGAACTGTGAGATAATCATGAATCACTAATTGAAGAGGTCTTTCTGAAAATTTCAAGAGGATGATGAGGTCAGTGGAAGACAGCTTCTGTTTCCCACAAAAGCAAAGACAACTGAACACAGTGGCTAGAAGGCCGGTAAGCTCAGAAGTAGCTGTAAAAGTAGGCAACAAATGAGCAGAAAGAAGCTTGAGGCATACAAAAGATGTCTCGAGGGAAACACAGATAAGAGCGAATCTATTAGTATCCAAACCAATTAACCTGCTGCTGAATCTATCAGAGCTACAGAGTAGGCAAACAACGGTAAGCCCACGAGAGCCCTCTGGGTTCTTTTGTGATTACTTCCATCTAATCTAATTAGGAAAAAAAGATCCTAAAAGGTACTGGAATTATTTCAGCAGAACTGAATAAACTGCATTATACAGAACAAAGACATTAATATACCTCTTTGATTTTAAACTCAATAAGAGCATCATGTGTAGTTTTAACAGTTCAGCAAACAAATTACTCAAACTGAGGCATATGACCTCTTTTGCACAATGTACTATGTGCTCTCAATTAAAATAATGATCTACAAATCTTTAGTTTGCTTCTGCTCATTAAGTTTGTGTGATGAGAACTGCTTTGTCTATGTTATTAGTGGCTTGAAATATCCAATCAGATGCCAGTTTAGTAGGTAGCTAGAACTAATAGCACAACAGCCGTGCAATAAATTGTACTGTCATGAATGATATGTTTAGTTTTTGTTTCCCATTGTTGATTCAACATCATATGGTCATTTTAAAGCTGTTTTGTTCACAGACAAGTTTCTCATATTTTATCCCATCTATAATATATAATATATAATTGAGGATTGACTAATAGCATTCTGCAGCATAATACAACACAGTTCAATCGCACCACTAGCTAAAGCCTACAAGAAGGCCATAAATTTGAATCAAGTTGACAGTACAATTTATTAGATGTATTAGACTTCATCTGTTTTCGTGAGGTGTACAAAACGGCAACTAAGTGTGCTGTAAATCACTATAAACATTAAAGACAGCCTATTATTTTTAGCATATGACCATTACATTTTCAAGTAATTCCTGAGCAGTATAGAAATTAACTTGCTATATAACTGTAAAAGTGAAGAAATGCTCGAAACAAAGTAGAGCTTAAATAAACTCAACCCATAAAAAAAAACAAAAAAACACTCTACCTTCTATGAATGTTTGTTTGACAGTTTGAAATTAGCAAAAACAACCTTAGGTATTATTTTTGTACACAAATTAAGTCAAAGATCAAAGTATTTTTTTTGGACAGTGGTCTTTTCCCTTTATCAAAAAGAGCTCATGCTATTGTTAGCATTCCTTTGCAGGCTGTTTATAGTGATATTGGCTGTGACAGTGCAAGATCTTGAATTCATCACTCCAAAGACTGTAACAACACAGCTGTTCGTCATGCGTCTAACAAGACAGCGTCATGCTGCTGTTACAAGACGGCCCAGACCAGTTTGAGAGCTTGTCATGCAGCTGTAGCAGGTTATCAGTTCTGTTCTGTGAATCTGCTGAAACCATGCAGGTGGACGACTCTGAGGTAAGGAGGGTGTCGCAAGTGGTGAAGCCAGTTTGAAGGCTTCCGGCTGGACATATGCCAAGAGGATGGACCATGCTATACAGAGCAAGGGGTGGATTGATGGGCTGCACCATGCGACTGACCGATGTGTCACTTTAACAAGTGAGCAGCATGCCAGAGTGTGGTTGTATGACAAAACCAATTGTTAAGGGTCAGGAGGCAGATCTGACCAGTTACCCTGATGCGGGATGTCGCAGTCAGAACTGTGATTTTTAAATGATGACCCCAAAAAGGGTCTCTGCATTACAATGTTGTTGCCCTCACATTATAATGAGTGCTGAAAGAAGAGTCCAAATAAGGTCAGTGAGAGTTGCCATGTGATTTCTCATTCATTCATTCATTCATTCACATCCATCATTTATCCATTTGTTCATGCAGTTGGTGGGTAGGGTAATGACAATACCATGCTGTGACAGGCAGGAGTGGAAGAGGTCTCAAAACACATTCTCTATGTCAGCCTACAATGCAACACATGCAGCGTCTAAAGGCTTGATATCACATTCTTCTGCATGATCTCCAACCCCACGAGGCCCCCGAAACATGTTTCAATTTCCCTCATCCCAATCACAGAGAATGCTGATTGGCTTGTCCAGGGCATGCACGCACAGACATGAAACAAAAGGCCCTGCTCCAAAACTAACAGCACACAACCCTGCAGTCGGGATACTGCCAGTGTTAGAAAAAGGCCTCAGGAGGACTACATGAAGTCCAGACCTGGGAGAAAGTATCTTTAAATATTGTACACATTACCATTAAAAGGAGCACTTATTCAATAAAGCAATGTTTCTACTTTTTAGAGGCTGTTGGCAGTATGTTGTAAAGGACATTTTTATCCTGACTTTCTCAATAATATTTCAGATAGACTTTCTAACTATTCAAGTATCTGACAGAAAATGTCAAAACAAGTATATTTTTGATCTGACATAGTTAATAGTAGGTGTGAGATTTGCAACTGAGTTCTGTCAAATATTACAAAAAATGGTAAGTTACATATTCATGTTACATATTTTATGAAGTATCCATCATATATCATTGTGTGTCAAGTATGTCACTGAATAGTATAAATTAAAACTCTAAAAATAGTCTAACTTTAAAAATGCATTCTCATATAAGACAGTGCTGTGAGACAATGGTAAATCATATATATATTAAAGCGAACATGCTAAAATTTAGCGGCAATGGAGGAAAAGAGGACTCTTGATGCTGACTATTTAAGCAAATGTAGAAAGTCTACAGTATAGAAACATAGCATTTGAAAGAAGCACTCCTGAAATATTTGTTTCATCTGAATTGACTTTTAGATCTATTTTAAGCCCAGGCCTGAATCAGTCTCAGATCCTCTACCTAATTTTGCCCAGCTGGCTCTTGGCTCTGGACAAAGGCTGCAGAGCGATGAAGTCATCACCTATCGCCACACGGTTGGAATACATCTATACCAGGAGAGTACAGACAAAGGATAAGATAAAGAATAGACACACACACACACAGAGGTTAGAAACCAAGCTCACACACACAGACACACACACACACACACACACAGACACACACACAATTTATACTGAACCCACTCTCAGAATCACACGGAGACACACACACACAGAAAGACAAAACAGACAAAGGTTAGAGCACAAACACAAACACCACATAGGATTGGAAAAGGCTGGTCATTTTTGTCTGAGAAAAAAAGCAGAGAACTCTGAGAGGAGGAAAGTTGAAACTAAACCATAAACAATCTCAAGCTTGACAAATCAATACAGTAACAGTGGGAGAGGTGAACATGCACATTGCGTGTCTGGGCATGTCTATGACCAGAGGAAAGTCATGTGGTGTGTATACCAACACCATGACGGTCCTGTTAAAAAGTGGGTTACTTGTTACCACAGAGGCTGGAAATAATGAACTATTTAAACAACGTGACATACAGAACATTTTCTCTCTCTGTATAGATTTTGAGTTTCCTTGACATTCTAGTTTATTTTCTCCCTCCAGGCTCTTCTCACGTTGCAGCAGATGTAATTTCCATTTTTGTGGTGCAAGTAGGAATACACATTAAATCTAACACTGTACACAGAAGACAGTTTAACTGCTGGATAGTATTTGGTCTTTCCTGTGCAATTTCAACACCTTTAATTAGGTTTAGGTTTGAGCCTGGGCCTGCAGACTTTGCAGAAAAAAACGTACATTATAGATGCGACTTTTGAGCCTTCATCACTTAGCTTTGGTAATAAATGTACCTAGTGCTCAATTGGTCCAAATGAAATCAATGCAAACAAGAAAAAGTATACCACACAAGCACAATGTTTCTGCAGACACATTATTTGACTTCACTACCAACAGATGCCACATTTCTTCATGACTATTGTATACAGTTTGTTCTCCATTATTGACATCATACTCTGACTTCTTTCACTCATCCCACCTTTCTTTGGCTTTTAGCCTTCTTTAAATCAGAATTTCTCAAAAAGAATGAAGTCACAAATCAATTTAAGTTGCCATCTGGGAGTCAATGCTACTCATAATATCCAAGATTACCAAAACTAAACTGCGCTGAAGAGCAAAGGTATGCAATGATAGCTCTGAGGAGAAACAAAAGATCTGTGGTTCGAGTGGTAGCTACTGCAGAATAGACGCTGAGAAAAAGTACAGAAAAAGTGTTGAAATAAAACAACTGCTGTGACCAAGAGAACTCTGCTGCGCCTTGGAGTCAGGCCAGCAGGTTGCAGGGTATCTGAAAGACAGGAAAACCTCTGGGAAAGAGCTTATTTAAACTGAAAACTTTAACTGTTCACAACTAAAGGAAAAATCCTCATCCACAGCAGACTAACAACTGGAATGAACTTCTTCACAGAGATTTCCAGACAACAGCCTGTAAACATTTTGCCATCACACCTCCTGCCCTCGTTACCTGACTCTTCTGTGTGCTGGTGGGCTGCAGATGTCTGTAGAAGACCTTCTTCACCACATCAGGAAAGAGGCAAGTTATGACGATGATGATAATGGCGAACCAAGCCGAGCCACTGGACAGCAGCTGCACGAAGACAAAGTACATGTCCTGGGTGTGCAGGAACGGCCTGGTGGAAAGTGGAAAGGACACAATGGTTATATACGGCAAATGATAGGAAGAACATAGCCACTTTTATGCATCTAATAAGTGGTGGAAAACATCTACAAGATAGTTAGTAAAAAAGTCACTGTAACGTGATGATGCCTTTAAATATAGCAATAAAGGTGGTCAGCCAGTCTCAGTTCGCTTTGCCCTGTTCACTGTAAATTTAGGTCTCTCTGGCAGTAGAAGTCGTGCCCTTTCAATTATTTTATTTTCCCCCGACACAAGAGTTTAACGACCGGTGCAGATGTCAGACTACAAATATCAATTATGGACCAGTATGGTTAGGCTGGCTCCTACAAGTCTGTGACTTGACTGGACTGGACAAAGTGGTGAAGATTGACCTGATCAATCCAACACGCTACCAGACAGTGACAGGGGATTCTAACAAAGCCTCAGTGATTTTCTTGCCTAGTGACAAGATTGGTTGTTCCATCCAGCACCAAAAAATTGCACAATACATCTGTATATATTATAAGTGAATGTTTTTAAACAGCAATTTTGGAAAATGCATAAAATATCGCTGATTACCTTAAAGTAAAATTGAGGTGGTAAATATGTATATTTCTGTGAGCAAATTTAACAACAAGCTTGTCATTGAGGTTGTAGTTTGTGGTCGTATTGCATTGCACAAAATTATACTGAAATATATGTGACATTCTTCCTTTCCTGTTTGTAAATGCAAAATTAGGCCCAGTTCAACACCACTGCAGACTAAAATACAACCTGAACATAGTTTTAGTTTTCAATGTGCAAAGTTGGCTGGTCATCTGCAAATATGATGAATTAATCCTTGAAATGTTGTTTCATACAAAACAAGCATTTCAGCAATTCAGCCTTTCTGAAATAATGCTGTATGGCTATACAGTATGTTTATCAAACATGCTTAGATGTATAATTCGAGCAGAGACAATTTGAAGCAAGAGAAAATCATTTTCTTTGGGTTTAAATGTAATTATTTATTTATTCTTACAACTGGCAAAAAATGAGAACTTTTTAAGACGTTGTTCTTACCAGATAATGCCTCCATAGAAGAGAGAGAAGATGAAATAGAAGGCAATTGAGCCCCATGTCACGAAATGGTTCATCCACGTCCAAAACTGAGTCTCTAATGCAAGCTGTCATTACATATGTCGACACACACACACAGACACACAGGAGAGGAGGAAAAATAAAGCTAGGTGAAAAAAACTGATGCAGGGACAGGTAGTGCACTAAAGTACAGTCTGTCTCTGTGCTGTAACAAAAAGAAGACAGAAAAAAAAGGAAAAAAAAAAGCCTTGATCCTAACCTGTGACAAATAATCTCCTGCAGTTAATGACCGCTGACATCATCCTATCCACAACATATTTTAATTCATACCTGGACTGTGACAGTACACGTGTGTCCCTGTGGACCTAAAGACATTAGTCAAATCATGGCTAATTAACACAGTAACTATCATCTTAAAGGTGCATTAAGCTTTTTTTTTTTACAACTATGAAGAAAAAGAGTCCAAAAATACATGTTAGTAAACATCTAATTGCATAGCTCAACTTCAGCACCCAACTGAAAACAAGTTTTTGCTCTCTCCCAGATGTATGCCGTGTATTAAAACACCTTACTACATTTGATTTGGTCATTTTGTGTGACTTCCAGGAGAAATATTGGAGTCTTCAGTTTGTTAAGTGTTCGGCTTTATTCACCAGCCCCTCAGTTATGCTAAGTGAATAACATAGATTTTTGTTTTGTGCTCAGCAGATGGCATATGGTAACTTTTTCTGCAAATGGCTGTAATTAAATAAATCATACACTCATGATTTCTACTCTACTACACATTCAAATGTCCCTAAAACTACTGGTTGCTTGGATTCTCAGAAAGACTACACTACTTCACTGTGAGAGTATCATATTAAATGTCAATTACCTTTAATGTGACAGTGATGACCATAACAGTAAAGACCAGAGTTCCAAATGTCCAGTTCCCGAACATCTATAAAAACAGACACACTGCAGTTAATAGCAGTCAATCTTACAGCACTGCAATTTGTCATTACCTGACAAGACTTCACAAATTGGGGCAGGGTGAGCTGATCTGTGGTTTAGTTTATGTATATACATGTGATGAAGAGAAAACTTCTACAAGGCAGCGGTTGTATTCAACAAGTTGCATGCTACGGTCCCTATAATAAGGCCTTGCCCTCCAACTGTGCGACTACCATCAGTAGCTCCACTGCTCCACTCATAGACTGAGAGCTGTGGGAGGTACAGTTTTGTTGCCAGCCAATTCAATACCCTGCTGGAGTCTGAACATTAAAGGCTAATAGCGCATGGAGCAAGACATATATAGAGACTCGCAAGAAAGTACACAACAGTTGTGGACCCAATTGAGGTATTTTGTGAGTTTAAATCACAACTACCAAGTTCTTACTAAAATCCTCCCCCCCAAAAAAAGAGGGGAAAAAAGGGTCATTTTTGGTCTCTTAAACATCACGACACTTTTGACACACCCAACATGTCTAGATTTGTCATATTCCAAGTGTAAACCTAATCTTGTCACTTATATTTGAATCCAAGTACACAGCATGTACCTGCACAAAATGATCATACATTTGAAGCTTTTGTGACACATTCATATGCGATGATAAATCTGAGAGGAAGGAAATTATAATTGGAGTGACTTTTCCCACTAATACAGTATTTGAGCAAAAGCAATAGAACTGAACTAAATTGACATCAAGCAAAAATGAAGAAATCAAAACTGATTACAATGTACTGGCATCTTCAAGGTCCATTGCCTGCATTATAACTTCCATCACTCTGCTCATTTTCTGAGTTTTTCACAAAAAAAAAACATTAGTAACTAAAACAAATTGACTGTCTTGGTTCAGCAGCGTGCATGAAGGTACTAAAATGAGTTAATAAGTAAATATACTTTAGAGGAGAGCATCGGAATTAAAATCCATCACCATTCAACAGCATCATTATCGATATTTCATTATCAAAAAAAACGTGTTGAAGCGTCTTCCTGACAGTCCTCTCATTAACCCCCCAAGGAGACATGCATTCAACTGTAGAGCAGACGCTTACCAGCTGCCTGTTAGCTCGCAAGATCTGAAGACATGCACAGCGTGAAGGCAGAAGGAAAAAGGCGTAATCAACAAAAGATGGAAGACAGAGACAACCAAGAAAGAGCAATAAAAGTGAGTGCTTTCTGAAATACCAAACTTCATACAGAGAGAAAGATATGCAGCAGGAAGGAAAAGACACAGCAAGAGAAGATTTGTTAAACTGTTAAACAAAAAGAATGACAAAGAGACAGATAGGAAAAGAGCAAGATCAAGGGAACGAGTGGCTGCAGAAATACCAGCAGAAAACCAACCCCATCAATAACACAGTCACAAATGGCTGTCCTGCATCCGTTCATTACCTTCAATTTATGGCCTAAAGTTACATTTTCCACATTTGTTTTTGGAAAATCCTCTGAACCAGATCGCCTCTCTGGATTCTACTATGGAGAACCTCATACTCTGACTAGCACACACCTGTCCATTGCCCATAAGTGTGGTGTCCTCTCCCATCAGTATGTAGGATCCAAAGAAGAAGATAAAGGCATGACAGAAGCCCAGCAGAGTCCAGTACAAGAATGTTCGGAAAGACAGCATAGAGTTCTTGCTGATATCCCTGTAGAATACAAAAAAAAGTTTTCTTATATTCAAAGACAATATACTGTATCAAAACACAGTTTAATGTTTCACTGTGATAAATAAGTTAGAAGTGTTTATTTTGTGATTCAGAACAGAAATCTTAAAGGAAATATGGAACGAGGAGCATTCAGAGGACAAAGCTTACTGAAAATGTTACATAAAATTCCTTCTAGCCCAAAGTAGTTGCTAAAGAGTGTTTAAAAAAAGATAACCGTGTCTGTAGATTGTGATACAGCATAAAACAGAGTTACTTCTCTTTTTAAAATATATAAAAACGGCAGTTTCCAGCAAACAGTTAATGATAATATGCAGTGATTAATGTATGGTAATTACACAGAGCCTTACCTGTACAGGCCAGGTTTGTTCTGCAGTATATGTGGATGGACCAGCTGTTCAAACAGACTGTACACCAGGATGGGCAGCGAGGTGAAGCAGATGTTGTACAGTGTCAGATAAACACTGTCATACAGAGTCTAGATTGGACAGAGACGGGATTTCACTTAACATCAACCTAGTAGCTAAAACCCATATCCACAAGTCAGCCAAAAAAATGAGAGAAAGGCTGAACAGAGTCAGATAGAGAGGGGAAAAGATGACACATTACAGATTACAATGTGGCATAATGTTCCACTATAAGTTACACTAATTTCGTAGGACTAATATCCTCTATGTTGTTAAAAATTAATTATTATTAAGTTCCGGAGCAATGCTGCATGAATATTTTAAATGCAAAACAAATGAAAAAAAAAAATCAATGTCAACTGACTTTAAACAAAGTTCTTTCTTGCTTTTGAAACAAGTGTTAGAAAGAAGACCTGCTGTCTATTTCATAATGTACTCAGTGCTATAATCCAACAAAGGACTGTGCAACATCAAAAACCAGAAACAAAACAACAATGACATATGAAAAGTGAGAGGAACAGAGAGAGAAAGAGACTTACTTGTTGTGAAAACAAACAGAAGAACTGGTATAAAAACTGGGGCGTGATAAAACACACATTCTAGAAAAGACAGAGTGAAAGAAAGAAACATTAAAATATTGCACAGAAAGGAGACATAAAAGCCTGTTTCTCTAGCTTTGAATATACTCCTCCAATGATATACATGGTATCACATAGTTGGTGTGAAAGTGGGATTTCAAAACCCCAAAACATTTTACCAAAATGATTATAGCTATCGCAAAAAAAAAAAAAAGAAAGTTTGTAAGAAAACAGTAAAAAAATAAATAAATAAACATCTGTACCACAACCAGACCTTACCTTGTAGAAAAAGTACTGTACAAGCGTAGCTATTCGAATGTAGTAGAAGTGACCGTGGACCAGCAGTAGTTTAGCCAGGAACTTAAACCTGGCTATTGCATAGTCACTGTTTCTCACGGCCTGGCGACCCTCCTTCCCCATGATACCTGGAGACACAAGCATACGCACCAACAAACATGAGACGACACAGCAGAATACAAATGCAGTGGAGATTGAGACCATATTGCCAGTGTATGTATGTATTTGTTGAGTGCCTACCTATGCCCACGTGGGCTTCCTGTATCATACTGACATCATTAGCTCCATCCCCAATGGCTAAGGTGATGGGTTTTTCTGGAGATGTCTTTAAAAGACGCACCACCTAGACAGAATAAAATAACACTGACATCTGGTTCCATCACATGAACACACCATAAGTGACGATGAATGTCACTGAAATATTTACACTTTCCCATTTGTGGTTGGTGTTGTGTACAGCAGTGTGTCACTACCTTAGCTTTCTGCAGTGGGGCCATGCGGCAGCACAGCACAGCCGAACAGTTTTTACACACTTCCATAAAGAGCTTCTCGTGTTCTCTCAATGCTAAAGACAGGCTGGCCCCGTCTACAACCAACCCATGCTGTATGACATGGTCTTCCTTTATCCTGGAAAGAAAGGGTCACAATATGAGGAATGCTTCCATCACCAATATGTAATGCCATTTTGGATTTTACTATTAGTCCTTTCACCAGCACATTGATTTTGTCTTCTTTATTAATAGTTGCCACAAAGTCAGTCTACTTTATACAGTAAGCCTGCATTTTAATGTCTAAACCTCAAGCAGCTTGTGGGTGTTTTGTCCTCCTGTTGCATTTTTACTCACTGTGGGCTCATTTTTCACTGCAAAGTCCCACACCTCTATGGGAACATTACAACCATGGCTACAAGTAGAGAACTCAAAAATGTCTTTTGTGCTGTATGGCACAGATTTAATGCCATAAATCATAAAAACAAAAAAAAAAAAAAAACCAAAAGTGAAAAAACTTGAATAATCAAAATAAAAAAAACGAAAAAACCCAAAAACAAAAAGGTTAAAAATTCCCCCAACAACCAAAAGGGGTAACAAAAACGGGAAAAAAAATGGTGGCTAGAGATATTTTAGTATTTACATTCTTTCATTCAATCTTTACAAACTCCGCATTTGTCACAGTACACTGTAAATCAACTCGAGAAAGATATTTTACCATGCTAAATTTATCTTTCAACAACTTTCTTTTTTTGCCACATCCGGTCACATGACTGTAGGTTGCAGCTGAGTCATGAAAGGCTTCTCTTTCTCTCTCTCTCTTTTTTTTTTTTTAAAGATGAAAATCAAACAGCTCCTTCTGTCTGTTTATACAGTTCCTTTCTATGATTAATGGTATAATTCTGCTATTTATTTAATTTTTAATTAGCATGGCAGGTTTTGAGGTTTCAGAGGATTAAAGATCACCACTATGGAGGCATGCTTGAGGCCAGGTATGTGATGGTAACCAAATGTGGAATTTAACTATTTAGAAAATTTCGGGGGAAAAACCAAACACATAAAGCATAATTTTTGTCTCTTAACTATGGATTACTCCTAAAGATCCACACTGTTAAAGTACATTTTAATGAAAATATAATACAACTCAGTACCAGAGAATAAATGCATTTTAAAAAGCAAAATTACGCAAATTGCACTCACCTTCTGGCCAGTCTGCGGAGCTGCTCAGCACACTCATTATCAGAGTGCTGCTGCAGGAGCTCCAAGATGTTCATGGTTCTATGGAAGTGGCCACAGGACAGGCTGACACTGACTGCTGTCTCGTGTTTGTCCCCTGTCAACACCCACACTTTGATTCCTGCCAGTCGCAAAGCCTCAATGGTCTCCTGGACTTTGTCTTGAAGTCTAAGGGACACAAGAGAGAAAATATAGACCATGTAGGCATGTACCACAGTGTAGTATATTCAAAACTGGCTAGAGTTTAAATCTATTTTTTAATTACCCTGGTAGTGATGCAGTGAAGCCCTTTGCCAAGCTTGCTAGTAAACTACAGCGTTCATAATGTAATACCCCCAGGGATTAGCAATAACTCTACATTTCAAGTTATTTTTATCTCCCAAGTAATGCCTGAGCATGAACAAACCAGCTTCAAAGCAAAGAAAAAAACCCTGCATCCAGTACAGTTAGACTAATAGGAAATTTAAACAGACTTCATCAACAGCAAGACATGAAACTAACAGCTCCAAGTACTCATAGTTGTCTGCATGTTGCTCATGTCTGATGAGAAGAAAAGGGTGAAAACTGCCTCTGACATTTGGCAGCACTGATTTGTTGAGAATACAGTATCTCTAACTGCAGTTAAGATTCCTACAGAGAGATTAACAGGCGGCAGATATGATCTAATATTACCATGCCTATCAGCATTACATTCTTCATAATAGACTGAAAACAGAGGGAAATGTTAGTCATGTCTTCCATAATAGAGAAGATCCTTTGATCGTGACCATGTGTGCCTGGGGAGGAAATCATTTCAGAAACAGAAACACAGCTTCGGAGAGAAAAGAGAGAAAGAGCAGAGAGAGAGAAAAAAGCAGGAGAAGAGAGAGGCTTATGTGAGGAGCAGATGGTGAACGGATGCAAACACATATCAACGTTCATTTCCAGAGAGGCTCAGTGAGGTGACGTCTCCGTCTCCCTGCTGACTATACATTGTTTGTTGAAGATGCTCCCTCCCACTGTGTTAGTCTGTTTTTGGGTATGTGGTTTTTCTACCATATTACAATACCACATTTTTACTTTATTGTCAAATTATTTTTGATTCACACAGCTAACATAGTACAATATTCAAGAGCTTGGTCGTCTATTTTTTGTTGCTGTACTTCCAAACAAATACCATTTTTATTGAGTGTATGATGTAGGATTACTGCATTTTCAAGGACAGAACATTTCACAGGACTATGAGTCCATAGTCAAATTACTAGCTCAATGAGGCTGCACCTTTAAAAAGCAGTACTTGAATCTAAATGACCACAGTGACTCCTAACACACAGTTTAACAGATTTTCTTTCTTACGCATTTCAGTTTAGTATACTAACTTTTGCTTGTTACCAGTGTACACAAAGAGCAATTGAGGCTGATGGGAATTTTGTTTTGACAGTTTGGTCATAAGTTAGACAAAAAATTGAGCTGATCATGCTAGATAAAAAATCAAGTCAAACAGACCAAAGTCATTAATTTTTATCTGCTGGTAACCATGACTATCTGTACTGAACTTTATGGGAACTCATTCAATAACTGTAAAAAGTTTTTACTAAAAAACTACAGAAGTCAACCTGCTCATGGTGTCTGCAGTAAAGTCAGGAGATCATCAAATTCAGAAGGTTCATCCTCTGGGGAAAAGGAATGTCTGCACAAAATTTTTAGTGACTCTTCAATTTAAAGGTGTGGATCAACATGGTGGGATAACGGTCAGTCCAACTACACGAACAGCACAACCACCAGCCAGTGTGGCTAAAAGTACACGGATGTCAGTAAAACATCCATGTGCTACAACACAATGTACTTTTACATGACACAGATTGTTGTTAAAGCTATCCAAGCAGAAATAAACACGTTTCTTTACAAGCAATAACAACATGTTATTTACTCACTGCCAGTGCCAACACATGATAAAAGACATTAATTATCACTGTAAATGGGCAGTAGGTTTCAGATGTTTGTCAATTACCTGAAAGCCCTGAAATGAATCCAGAACTCTAGATTTGGAATCAGTGGAATCAGTTAACTTTATTTTGTACATACCTAACTTTATCAATAGCAAGCAAAGGAGGTAAGTACATTCAGCCAAACTGTCTTGCTTTTCTCTTTACTTTCTTTTTAGAATGCACTGATGAAGTAATTTCTCCTGGATGTGAAATATTAATAAATCACAGACATATACATCAGGGATGAGTTATGAGTGGGATGAGAACTGTTTGAGGTGAGGTACAACACCAATATATTCCAATTTATATTCAGAGCCTTCTTACTTGTCTTCCACCCCCGTTGCTCCCAGGAGCTGCAGGTCTCTCTCGATGTAGCTGAAGGCCTCCTGCAGTCTCTCCTCTCTCTGCTGCAGCGCGGTGCGGGCGGCGTTCAGGCGCCTGTCCACATCGATGTACTCCTCTGGGCTGAAGTGTCGACATGCTACCACCAGAGTCCGCAAACCTTTCTACAATGGCATGAAGAGGATGGGTGTAGAACAAACAAACAAACAAACAGAAGAAACAAGACAGAGTTTAAGAGAAATTAGAAGAAAGAGAGGAAAAGGGTATGTAAAATTATAAAGGATTAAATGAGAAATAATGTTTGTGCAAAGAGGAAGGGTAAAGAAGAGGAAGAAAGAAGGAAAAGAACAAAAGTAAAGAGAGAAAGAACAGAACAACAAATTATCAAAGCTTGGTTTTAAATCACAGAACCAGCCTGAGGGGCAGATGACCACAAATCAACCCAGTCCAGAGCCTCGACTCCTGGGTACTGACGTCTGATGACATGATGTGGAGGCCGGATATATGTGTGTGTGTGTGTGTGTGTGTGTGTGTGTGTGTGTGTGTGTGTGTGTGTATGCAATGACGAAGAATTTATAGTCTAATGGGAACAGAGAGCGACAGAGCCAAAAGTAATTACTGTAACACTGGAAAACGTCAGGCCTACACAAACACAGACACACAACTGTGAATATACTGTATGAATGAAAAAATAAAACATTTAAAGGTTCTATTTTATGTTAGAGTGGACTTTTTCTCTGAAGTGGCAGTGTGGGATATCAAGTTATTAAATGTGTCTCAAAGGACAGGCAATGTCTGCTTATCAGCCCTCCTTCATATGGGGAAAAGATCAACACTGATAACTATATTAACTCAAACTGTCAGGGAGACTATGTCATGCCATAGAGAATATATACAGCTACTATATATAGAATTTCATCTGCTACTATGCAGTAATCAAATGTGTATTATGACAGCAACAAGATAAACTGCTGCAGAACAATTTTATTGAAAATAAAAAAATAAACTCTCACCAAGGCAAACTCGTCAACGTGCAGCCTTGTCTTCTCAATCTCACCACTGGTGGTGAAAGGCAAGATGGCTGACTCTGCGCCCTTGGTGAAAAGTACTTTTCCTCCTTTAAAACCAAGACACGATAAAGAAGTCATAAAAAGATGTGTGTATATATGTGTGTGTGTATGTGTGTGTGTGTATACACACACACACACAGATTACATATATTTAAAATCTGCTTATAAACCTATTAATGTGAAAGTTCTCAAATTATTTTAAATATTTTTATGGCATTCATTTCATATTCATTTAGCTTTTATGATTCACCTTTAATCATCTTCTCTCTGACTGTACGGTATGTTTGTCCTTTGCTTGCATTGTTGGTAGTTGAAGGCAGTATTTTGTCAGTAATGATAAAAACATTGTGTAGTCAAAGAAGATGGTGTTACCTGAGGGAGTCTGTAGAATGACACTCATCCTCCTGCGGTCAGCATCAAACTCTAACACATGAAGTAGTTTATACCTGAAAGACCAGTGACAAAGAAAAACAGTTGTGTTAAATTTACTCTGTGGGGATGAAAGCAGTAGACATACACATTACTGCTATTTGTTTTGGATGAGTGGGCTTTACTTTCTGTCTTTGGCTGCTGTCTAGATTGCAGGTTTTATTGCTATAATATGGGTTCAACATTCAACAACTCAAAACTATGATCACTTGCTCCAAAGTGTTGTGACATGATTAAATAAAAGATATAACAAGTCATCATTTTGACCAATTCATTTTGTATTAGCTTTAGAAAATATTAAGCTTCACTTGACAGTTGGTGGTCAAATGTTCATCTGTCGTCATGTGATTTTAAGAGTCTGCTGACCATCCGTGTAAAATAGTTCAGAGTATTAGTGCTTTAGAAGATAAAAAGGGTGACATACTTTTCTGACTTGCCAAATGTTTTGATTTCCATGGTGTCTCCGCTGCTGCAAGTGAAGGCCACTCCAATCCTGAGGGAACAAAGAGACAGCACTCAAAGATAGAATTATTAGGAGAGTGAAGATGTTGACCTTTAAACACTGGGTGACAATCCAATTTAAAGTTGAGCAGGTTTGACTTTTAGCTACAGCACTCCCCTTAATACATTCAGTCATTCATTCGCTAATCCAGTTATTGATCCCCATCAGAGTCATGGAGGGATGCTGCCTGCAGTTAATGGCATGTGTTTATGCTTTGGGAAAAAGCCCGGACATCCTCAAGAAAGGCAGGTGGACAAACAGAAAATTAGCATCACATATATACACTCTTGGACCATCTTGTTATAAAGAGACTAAACATTGAACCACTGTTTGAAAAGAAACAAATTTGAGATGTTCTTAATCATTACAATATAGTGCCCAGATATGCAATCCTGCCATGTTAGGTGTAACTTTACCAATAATATCAAGTCAGTAGGAAATTAAGTTACCTTTTGCAATCAAAGTACAGTGTTGAGAATTTAGGCTGAAGTTATGTCTATATTGGTATTTTGCCTGAGTATTATATATTCAGTTTTCAGTCTATGGCATCCAACTTTTAGGACGATAAGAAGATTATAAAGTTGAGCTTTTGTCTAAACCTTTAAACAAGACATTCTTCTACACTGCTACATTTCTTCATTGTTCATTGTTCATTTTTTTCTTTTAAGGCTGGGACAAACTATATCTTGGTACTTTCAGGCTGTATGGTGATAAATATCTCAAGATTTTCTACAAAGTGGGATAACTGTTGAGTTAATAAGTCAAAGCCACATGTGAGATGTCACTAGCACATTTATTAAAACAGACTAATTAAGAGTCTGTCAAAATGTGAAGAAAAAAAAAATCGCATTTAAAAGCAGTCAGTTTCTCAGTCAGGAGCCATTGCAATTTACAGCAAACTTAGTCACATCATTACACATATTTAATTATGTTGTTAAAAATAATGACTGCACTCCTACTCACTCTCACTCAATGACACTTAATTAGTGAGAAGTTTCCACAAATTAACAGAATCTGTCAGCTGTTTTCACGCTTTCAGTTGCAACATCAAGTTCACATATATCATTCAATCTTTGAAATATTCTTTATTAGACGAGAGCCGTCTCCCTCCAGGTTTTAAGAGAACTTGTGATCAGGTGGCACCAGTTTGGAGCCCAGAGGGAGAGTGAGGGCAGGGTTGTGCAGAAAGTGTGAGAGAAGAGAGACACAAACACTGGCAAGGATTTACCCAAGAAATGAGGAATGTAACACAACATTAATCTATATCAACATATACTGTACTGTTTTATTCTATAAATTGTGTGAAAATATATCTCTATGCCTTAGAAAGTTGTTATACTAATGCATGTCTATCTTGTTGTGGAATTTATTTTTGTGGTCCCAGCTTTAGCTATCCTATATTAAACCGCTGTAATAGAATCAGTTCACATTCTATCAATGCTTTTCGCTTTTTCAAGCCATTTTCCACACGTCTGCTTGAGCGTTTTTTAACCACTCTCTTGACATTCGATTGCTGCCTGTGCTGTATTTCTGTCGTACTAAAAGGAACAAGTATCCAACAGTCCAATCTCCACAAATACTTCAGTGTCCCTTTGCTGCTGACACAATCAGTAAAGGCTGTAAAGCAGGTGGAATTTAACATCATGTCAAAAGCAGGCTTTCATACTTGTGCAATGGTCAAGAAATGGTGCAGACATAATGATATTTATGCTAAAGTAAAGCCCAAGCTCTCCTCTTAAGTCTACTTAAAAATATAAACATCGTCTCTTATCTTTTGCTTGGTTAATGTCTTGCACATGTTGTGTTCATGTGTTACAAGGGCACCACAATTATTTCTGTTTCCTGTGTTGTAACAAACACCCATGCAATATGTCTAAACCATAAGCTCTTTTGGTATCACACCACAAAAAAACACCATCTTCCATTTAAAACTAATCTTAACTTTTGCTAACTTTTTTTTTCTAGGTTGTGTTCAGATTTCAGCCTGTGCACCATTTGAAACTTACAAAAGAGTGGGCATATCTGCAGAAGCTCTAATGCAGCCTTACCTCTTTGCTGCCTCCACTAAAGCTTTCTCATCTGGTGAAGAGGCATAGTACTCCATGTGATTGGAAGAGAAGCCGTTGGCATGCGAGAAAGGGTCTCCTCCCCCCACCAGACAGTCTGGCTGGTCGTAACTGATCTGAACTGTGTGACACAATGACACCGCCTTGAGAAATAACAATTCCTCACCAATCTGGACGGAAAGACAACAGGGAAGGATGAGAGGAGAATAAACATCAATTTGTAGTCTAGACAGTGAAGTATTGTATGTCATTGTGAACAGAAGTCATGGATAAATCAGAGGTGAAGGTGTGGAAGTTAAAATGCACATTTTGTTTGTGAATTTGAACATTTTGTGCCAATTCATGTGTTGTACAATCCCATTATTCATTGAGTTGGTGCATTAGCCCAACATCCACAGCTGATCCGATCAATGGCCTGAGGTAAAAACACGCCTCTATGTTCTGAAGTTAATTTGTTTTATGCTAGCAGTGAGAACAGTGTGTAGCTACTCATGTATGTGTCTGCCAAAAGAAAATGAATGTAACGTATACGTGAGTTACCAGGTGAGGTGTAGAACCATCTGGTGAATCGTCTGTCATTCCTTCTGGTACCAGTTTGCCATTAACTTCCCGGTACTTGGTTCCATTGATTGAACACTCACGGAACTGCATTTCATTTTCTGTCAGCGTACCCGTCTTATCGGTAAACACATACTCCACCTAGGAAACAGAAACACACACATGCACACATGAGTTGAGGATCACTAAAGGTAGGACAGAGCTCTTTCACTTTGTGTTCATCCAGTTATAGAGAATATATGTTAAGTATTAAATATGCACACACAAACAGAAACTTCTGTTCAGTTTTTTTCCGAATCAAAAAAGGCTCATATGTCTCATATTTATTGCAAACATACAGCAAAATACATAACAGACACAATATACAATGTTTGATTGGATAACTCTTTTTGTGTATACAGTATATGCCATTTTCTATACAATACTAAAACACAAATGAGACAGATATTACCTTAGGGTATGCACATGTGAGTGAACAGTATTAATGCATCTTTAGTCCTCTTCCATACCTGCCCTAACTCTTCATTGAGGTCTGATGTGTTGACCTGAGCTTTCTGGTCACTTTCCTCATGGTAAAGGTCCAAATCCCAGCCAATGAAAAAGGAACCCAGGAACTTCTGCATCTCCACAGTCACGTAGAGCGAGATGGGGATGATGAAGTTATAGAGGACCAGAAATGCCAAGAAGTCTGAGATGAATTTTAAGATCTGAGGAAAATTAATCAAAAAGAGAAGTTTTTCAATGAAACTGGAAAAGAGAACAATGTAAAATCTCTAAATGTATGAAGCCATACATTTAGAGTACCAAGATGATTACTTATTTAAATTTATGATACAAAATTTAAAGTGAGTGAAAAAATCTTTAAAATAAAAAAATGGAGGAAAGATGAGATTCCCTGTCAAAAAAAAAGCCTTATACACATATTAGCCACACACAGAATAATGTGGCTTCAGTACTGATCCTTCTAAATCAAAGCAGGCAGGCCAATTCATTCCCATTAAGGAGTTAATTACTTTATGTGACAGGAAAGGAGAGTGAGGAATGAGTGCAGACTGAGAGACAGAGGATCAGCATCAGTATCAGCTTTACAAAACCCATGTTTATGACATGTTAGACCTGGAAAAAGCTCTGACCAAACTGCTAAAAAACAAACACACACTAGCAACTAGTACACTGGTCCTCTGTCTGATGTGAAAGAACAGGTAGGACACACAACAAAAATACCACAAACACTAATTGAGCAATTAAGTTATTTGTAATCTTAAGGCTTTATACAAGTAGCTTCCCTTGAGAGAGAAGACCAGTGTAACGGGGAGAGATGAAGTCATTGGTTTCTGAAGATCCTGTTTTCATAAATCTGAAAACATGGCTGTTAATTTGTTGCTGTTCGTCCTCGTCTCCAGGAAGCAGGAAAACAAGAGCACAAATGTGATTTTTTTTCTCTCTCTCACTGTCTCAATACATAGAGGCTGCTGTTCTCACTGACTGACTAGTGTTGGCAGACATGCTGATATGCCAGCAGACTGGCCCAGTGACAGACACTTCAATTCTTATGCCTTGTCACAAAATCTAAAGAAGCTAAAGCTGCCCTACCAGCACCCCTCTAGGTCTGTATGTGTGAATAGGTGTGGATTAAAGCAGGGCCTCATCTTTAGATCTTCACTTAATTCACTGTTTAATCAAAGAGAGAGCAAGCCCATTATTATTTGGTGAAGAGATTAAAGTGAAAAACAACACAGGTTACGTATGTAACGGGAGGGAAGGAATGTTGGCAAAAATGTCACCTGATCTTATCTCTGGCGCTGATAGTCTGCGCTACTTACAAACACAAATCAATGACAATGCATTCCTCTGTTACTTGGTGAAAAGCAGACTGACCGGACTGCTGTTTCTCTCCTGTTCAGTCTTTTGGTTGTAGAAGGGCTCGTCCCATTTGTCCTCAGCCTGCCAGGCATACTTCAGGATGGTGCTGAGGACGGCCTCAAACAGCAGGATGCCCAGGTAGATGATGAGGAAGGTATTCATTGACCTGGTGTAAGGAAATATTTTGAAGTCGACGGTTGCACTAAGCATGTTCTATTAGAGAAATGTGTTGTATACTCTGAGAGACCACAGAAACTGCTCACTTCTCTACTGCAGAGCGTTTCTGGGATTTGCACTTGTAGTTGAGGGCCATCTTGGATTCCATCCCTGTGTAAACTGCCACACCTGCAACAGCACAGTAAATATCAATTTTACAACAGGTTTGTCCATTATACTGCTAATTGATTAATGCCTGAAATCATGAGATCATAAGAAACCAAAACAATGCATGTGCCCAAAATGGAGAAATAGTTCATGGTTCAACACAAAACAACTGCAATATTATATAGAATACACAACACGGAACCTTCAGGGCACTGCTATTAAATGTGCAGGTAAACCCCTTCCAGGACTTGCTCCACAGAAATAGTGTTTAGTTGACATCATCAGACCTCAGCTGCATGATAATGAGTAGCCTGTCCTGCTCATAATACTACCGTGCCTGACTTGTTCATGTGACAGCTGGGATGTAGCTGCATCACCACTCTAGCACCACTTCCCCTGACCGCATTTCAAACACAACTTCTTTAAAAGCTATAGTTTGTCATTTCAAGTTGAAAATTTCCTTTGTGAGAAATAATTTACTTCTCTAGCTGCAGCTTGGGTGAAGGTTGGGGTGTGCTGAAGTATCTCTTTTCATTCCCTTTATTTTAACTCACCGTAAATCTCTTTGGTATTTTTCAACCTGGCACCTCGCAGCAGCAAATTCTCTGGACCCAGCGGTCTGACATTAAAATAAAGAAACAACATAAACACAAATAAAGATGGATGTGGTTGTGGATTTTACAACACAGACATAACTTATATACTATTTAATTAATAAGTTTAATTATGTTGCACAAGTCCACTCTCTTGTAAAAGACACACTTTTGATTAAATATACAAAAATCTATTTATATATGTATATAGTACATGTATACCCATATAATGTGTATATGTATCCATACAAAAAACTTAATGCTCTACTAAAAGTCACATTGACACCGTCCCATTGTATTTGTATAAAGGTGTAACCTTGGCACCAGACCTTACACTAATACCAGTCTTATTAGGGATGTCCATTTAACAGTAGTTCTACCTTTTAATAAATAATGTATTAATTAAAAGACTAGTCACTACAGCTGGATAAATCTGGTCTTACCTTACTATCTCCTCCCCATGCTGAGTCACCGTAACACGACCAACAAATCTGGAAAACACCACATGCATTTCAGTTGATTGGACTAATGGAGTCTAAAACTATGGTCACATGCACACAGGTACTGGGAAAAAAAACAACAACATGTAAACACAGGAAATCTGAGAAAGATTTTAGGCACACCTCAACAACCCAGTCTCTATAAAAACCTATGCTTGTAACATTTTTTTCCTCTACCCTCTGACATATTTTATATTTATTAAATGGTCTGCACTTATATAGCGCTTTTATCCAAAGCACCTACAATGTGTTTCTCATTCACCCATTCACACACACATTCATACGCCAATGGTGACAGAGCTGCCATGCAAGGCTGCCATTGGGAGCAACTTCGGGTTCAGCGTCTTGCCCAAGGACACTTCGACTGTGGAGGGGAAGGAGATCGAACCACCAACCTCGCAATTAGACTGAGCCTACACAGGTTTTTGACTCACACAGGACAAAGAGAATAGGTTCATCATGAACAACTTTACTGAAACTGAGAAAGTCTAAAAGCTAACAAAATAAGCTAATGTTCAACACAAGGTGCAGACATACTTAGACTTAATTTCAGCTTCAGTTGGACTTTGGCTTAAATTAAGTCTAAAAGCTAACAAAATGAGCTAATGTTCAACACAAGGCGCAGACATATCTAGACTTAATTTCAGTTTCAGCTGGACTTTGGCTTAAATTATTTTGAAAACACGGATCCATTATAATGAGTATAGAGCTTTCCTTTTATGCTGCTGCACTATTGCCATAGAAATCCTTTCCCCTAACTGTAGTGTTTGTGATGCATATGTCCCGATGCAATAACTGTTTAAAAAAAAAAAAAAAAATTGTTAAAATGTAAACAATCAGGTCCCTTCTGCAGAATTCTAACAAAGTTTATGCTAATGTCTTTACTGTAATTTGATGTTGAAGAAATCATATTACTAAAGAAAGCTGACAACCTGGGTTGGTTAAGCACATGTAAACATTGTGGGTGTAAAGGAAGTGACAGCAAACCTAAGAGGGGGATGGGAGAAAACAGCCACAAAAACAAACTGCCTGTTCTAAAAATACACTGATCGATCTTAAAGCGGGCAGTTAAGTGACAGGAGGAAAAGAGGTTGCTGAAGAGGTGACAAAGCCATCTCACCCCATCATCCATTTAATAACACATTTCTGGCAGGACATGTCTACCATGTTTGAATTATAGTGGCTATTAAAATGGGGTCTGGAGACTTCCAGGAAATCTTCAGGGAATCCTAGAACATGTGAAGGTAAAATCTATCTATCACTCTATATATATATATATATCGAATTGAAAGAGACAGACAGAGAGAGTGACAGTTAAGCAATAAAGAATAAGATAAAAGAAGCACAAACATTTTCCTACATAATTACCCAAGGGCAGAATCTTAATTCCTAATGTTCTAATACGTTTACTTGGGACTATTCAGTATTGCATGAACCTCCTGGACCTCCCAGTGGGCTTTTGTCCTCCCAGTCTAAAGGTGTGGTTACATCGGGGGGAGGGGGCAGATTACCTGTACAGGTCAGCTTCAGGTTGTTGACACTCCACCACAGCCTGCAAAGCCTCCAGTTGGGACACTGACTGACACACTGATGTCTCTGCCACAGAGTAATGGGTCTACAAACAAACACACCAAACATACTTACATGCTGATTGAAAGGAAACATTGCTTAATGGAACAATTATGGGGAATTTTTAATACAAAATTATTCCTAGACAAATACATGTAGTTTGCAAAAAAAAAAAAAAAGCTTTCTATTTACAAAACAACTGGTTCTGTAAGTTGCAGTTACCCTGTTGCAGAGGACGCCATACAGAGAAGAGAGAATGGCAGCATAGGGTAGATGTGAGAGTAAGCCAAACTAGTAGACTGAAAGCCTGGAACTACTTGTTTGACTGATTTTATACAGGACAAATCCTGCATTGGCACAGCCAGCAAATTACCAGACCAGCTCTGTTAAAAACAGTGCTGAAAATTGGTGATTTTTTTCAAAACTTCAGACACTTTTGGATATGTGATTTAACTGACATCACAGCAACATATGCATTGCACTATGCATTACACAAAACATATTTAACTGACAGCGATTTATAAAGATATCAAAAGATGCAAAGACTATTTCTAGGCCAACACTGAAAGCCCACCATGCTGTATAAATAAACCGTAACAGAAGTAGCTGGATGTCGTTAGAGAGACAATTAAGTTACACAGCCTCCGGCAAGACTGGGAGGGGAGGGGAGGGGAAGAGAGGACTTGCTAAATACAAAATTAAGCGGTATAAAACACTGAAATTATATAATCATATACAAGTCATTTTGAAACCTTTATCAGGGCACGCATACACATGGCACACCCACAAAGCTGGTATTAGCCATAGACATTTCTAACTAATGAAAAACTAATACCTAATATATGCATACAATTTCCATTAAGCTGCTTATAAATGATCCTAAATGAAGCTCTCTCCATGCATAGAGCCTTGAATTGAGTCCCATCAGCCTTGTGCTCCAGCAGTATCACCATATCATCAGCTCTCTTTTCCGGGGCACCACTATCATCACTGGTGACAGCACTCATAAAACTCCACTTGTTGCAATGCCTCATATCATACAACTGCGCAGCTTCAAACGTACCTGGTGAAGCTTCTGACCACTCATCCTATTACGTTTTCCTAAAGGTGTCCCCATTTAGTTTGAACTGTGCACGCATCAAAGAGGATCCGCACACACTCACACATGAGCAAGCTAGCGATGCAGTTCACAGCACACACAGACCTTAAGGTTGGTCTCTCCATCGAGGCTGGCTGTGGTGATGTGACAGGTGCCATCTGCACGATCTGACGACAGCAACACCAGGTCAGCTGGGAACGTCTCATCTTTAGCCACACGAACAATGTCTCCCACCTACATGGACAGGCAGAAACACACACATTTTGGTCAAAACTGTTCAAAAGTTATGCAATATTTTAGTTGGATAGTCTACCTAATGTTTAGATAAGAAGCTTATTCACCCTTACAATTTCATTGGGTGAAAAGATTCATATCACAAAATATAATATATTTAAATTCCAAGTCTCCCAAGTCTTCAATGTCTTACAGCCAGATTAATATTAGAGACATTAGTCCTGTTGCTGAAAATCCTCTTTTCTATTTTTAGAAAAGGCTAACACTACCCTAAATACCACTGGCAAGGACAAGAATGTTCTATTGATATTTACAATTTAGGTTTCCATATATTCCAATTGATTCTTTGAGTAATTGAACAGGATCAACACTTCATTTGTTACTGACATTTTTTTGAAAGTTGTCTAATTAGATGTTGTCTATGAGTAACAAGTTAAACATTTCAGCACTGTGACTTTACTTAGACTCCACTGGCATTCAGCTGTCAAACTTCCAATGACACACAGCAACCCTGTATACCTTATGCTATTTCACTGGTGTTGACAGCAAGTCCCCTGGCTTTGACAAGATAAACAATATCAAGTGTGCTTGACAAGCTTGAGAGGTTCACTGTTTACCGTTTCAGTAAAGGGCATATGTCATTTAGGCAGAGGAGGTTTGGCTCCAGACATACTAGTTACAGTGTCTGAGAAGCATGATCTCAGAGGATTTGTGTGCACTATAATGTCCCGAGACACAGGCGCACCATGGCAGCTGAAACATCGCATTAATGAGAGGAGAGGTAATAGCACGTTCTGTTCACGCTAAAGGTGCATTGCAAGTAAGCAAAACAGCTGACAAATGACTAAATTCTGTATAACAGTGATCTTCATGAAGAATATTATCCAACAAGGGCTACAACGAATGCATGTCAACATCAAATAAGTATGCCATTTGCTTTATTAATAAAGTCGTTATTTTGTCTAACAAATTGTGTAAATAGTGAACTGTTCTCATTACTAAATGACCATATTGGTGTCTTCAACTTTCTCGTTCATTCCACATCAATAAGAAGCATTTGTCTTTTTTGCTTGATAAAAGTATTTTCAAACTAGTCTATTATTTCACTTATTGTTTCCACTACTTGGCAAGAACAGGCAATACTAATGATTAATGGTTTTAATGTCATAAAATAAGACCAGGACAAACCCATAATCATCACACAACCACCAGAACTGGACAACTACAGTCGTAGAGTCACTGTAAACCACAGTGCCTGTGGAACAAATGCAGCAGCTACTTCTATCAGTCAACCAAATGTAAGAAGATGTACATCACATCACTGTTTAGATGTTTTATTTTACTATTTTGAACCAGTCAAAAAGTAAAATATTGCGAAACAGACTTCTATTTGTGAGCAAGCACACCATCACGTAAAGTTAATATGTAGAAAGGCCATTTAAAGGTTGTTTTAAAGGTAATAGGATGGCTGGTGCCACTGAGATTGCACACATGGAAAATATGGGGAAAAATCCTAAAAAGTGGCATTTGTAATTACATGCCTTTTTGCAACAGATGCATCAGTTACATTTGTGCTCCACACTACCATAAACGCCTCAGTTTGTTTCAAATCTTATTTAAGAAACAGTCCTCCTTTCATTGACAGCATTAGATGCGTCTATACAGTGCAGATTCAATGAAATGCCACTAGCATGAGGAATTTAACAGCCAAGCTTTAAGTTAGTCATGTGGGTTAGCTATGAGTTGCAGAGAGCTATTTTTAGATACTTTAAACTACAAGATTTTTCCATTAACAGTGTACTTCAGAGTAAATCTCTGTGCTGGAAGAACTGCCACAGCAAAGTTGCTTTCCACTTCAGCTTTTGTGATCTTACCCTGATATTCTTAGATCTTGTCTGGACCAGGCTTCCACTGCGAACCACAAACACTGGAGCCCCATTCACCTCATTGTCCGCCTTGTGTCGCAACCAGTCCTCATAGCCCTATGAAGAAATGCATTCAATAGCCATTCACATGATGCAAATGACTGCTGGTTAGTATGTTATTTACTGACATGGTTACATGGTTTAAGTTATTCCAAACACACCTCTTTACTCTCATCTCTCTGATTCAATACTTTTTGAAATGAGGTGAATACTGAACTAAGATGCAAAGATTTAAGTTTTACAGTAACCTGATGTGCCAGATGGTTTGTTACACAGGACCATCTGAGAAGCTGTCCTTGGAAAATGGAAAGGGCAGGCCTTTAAAAAAAAATACTTGGCAGGGGATTGGATGTTTATCACCATCTATCACAGGGTAATTCACATCTATAACATGCCCACAGCTGCCAGTTTGTCCTCATAGGATGTTGACTGGCCCAACAAACTGGCCACAAATGTATACAGTGGCTGTCAAGACAGATTCTCTTGTGATCATGATCTTGTGACAATCCAGCCTCAGAAGACAAGTTTCACTATGACTACAATGTATCTTTAATGATAATGCATGTATGTCAGTTCTCTATTTTCAGGTCAACAACGAGGAAGCTGTCATGTGCTTGTGTTCTCACCTGTTTTATGGCAGTTACTGTGATCACAAAGAAGAGAGGCAGACCGCTGGTGACTGGGGAAGTTGGGGTGTCTATCATTAACTGGAAAGAAAAATACAGAAGTGCAGAGACATCAACTAATTAGAACTGCAGTGGGGAGAAAAAAACACCAGAGTCAAAGTGGGTGTGACCTGAAAACTAGCGAACTAAAAAGACAGAGAGAAGTTGCAGCTGATGTGTCAAACAGGAAATCCTCATAACTTCCCTCAAAGGTTAACTGTCAGATTAGAACTAGTACACTCACACACTTGTACTTCTATCTTTGTGAGGCAGGTCATTGCCATAATGCACTCCTTAGCCCTTTAACCATCACAACCAAATACCTAACCCCAACCATTACTTTACCATCAGACAGCCCTTTGAAGGCACATCAGAGAGTGAGGACCAGTCAACATGTCCTCACTTTCCACAGATGTCTTTACACCGCAGGCCTAAAACTCACATTGGTCCTCACAAAACAGATATACAAAGACACACAGACATTAAAAGCTTCAAAGCCAACACTGAGTGAAGCAGACGTGTCACAGTTTTCTCAGCCTCACTTTAATCAGTGAAAAACCCTTTGTTTATACAGTTTCGGTTTACACATTGTTTTCCTGCAGTTTTCCGAAAACCGAAAGCCAAGACATTCCTCTTTCCAAATGTTTAAAAACAATTTCCAATCTTTAAGGGCTGATTTATAGTTGAGCCACTTTTTTATTTTTTTTAAATTTTTTTAAGAATGATTTATTTTGACAATTTGCCTTTACTGGACAGCTGACAGTACAGAGATATGACATGCAATAAAGGTACCCAGCTGGACTCAGAACGGGGACTCTGTGGTTACATGTATGTGGGTTTATGGTGTCACTCAGGAAGCAGGAGCTCATGTAAAAGATTTGTTACAGACTAGCTTATTTTGGTTTAGCGAAACACAGAATCTGAATGTACTATAATGCATCTTCTTAGAGTTTCAGCCATTACTTCCTGGATAACATTTCAAAATTTCATTATTAACTAGAACTGCATCTGCTTCTTGGTAGTAGATGCTGAAAAGAGAACATCAGTAAATTGCATTGTGGGAATTCACAAACTCTAAGATTCACACACACAGTTTAGTTGCTGTAGACAACTGAATCCTATAACACACATCAAAAATCACATACCAGGTTATGCGATTGCTACCTTTCATATTAGGATATTTGACTTTTGTTCTACAATTGTAATTTTTTAACATTTGACAACAAATTTCCTCTCACTTAGGAAGGCTGAAGTGCAAATTAAATGTAACGAGAGTTTCTGATCACTGCTGCTATGGTGCACTGCTTTTATGAGTAGGCCCCCATTTTGTTTGTTCTCATATTGTAAGCAAATGATGCAAAGCACATCCCTGCCAATTGTACAACACTGTTGCACTGATCTACAGGTGGCTGCAATGGGGCCAAGAAAAAAAACACAAAAACCGCAATGCTCCAGCAAAGACAGGAAGGCTGCTATAAATGCAGGCTTCAAACAAAGAAAAATCTGCTGGCAAACAATACATGAGGAAGAAAACACTCAGCATTGTTTAAAAGAAAACCCCTCCGGGTAAATAAGACATGACAAGACAAAGATGTATCTGAACATTTTAAAAAACAGTAACAACCGACAATTAAACAACAAGAACTGACATAAAATATAACAAGACTAAGTCTATTCTTGATATGGTAAAGGAAACAACAATTCTAAGGGCATTTTCAAAAGGTTTACTTGGCAATCAGAGAACACGTTCATAATATCAAGATTAAAAGAGGCTCTTTTTTCTGTGATTTGAGACTAAGCTGACTTCAGCTTCACTGACAAGTTGAGTGGGTGAAAAGAAGAAAGTCCTTTTAGACAGAGCTAAGTCGATTGCTTTGGCTTCACTACACAGTCCCAAATAAATCAGGAGGCTGGAAATTTGAAAGCCAAATCCTGCTTCAGCACAGGATGACTGATGCATAGTGAAAGCCTAACTCTTCGGGGGAGCTGTGAAGACACACGTATTACTAAATGTGTGGGTGTAATGTTTTAATACAGAGGCAGACCTGCCTCTCTTCTGGTCCCTCGAAGTCGATGACTCACTCACTCACTCACGCACGCACAAACAGACGCGCACACACATTTGTATTTAGGGCAAGAAAACTGAGGTCACACTCAACTTGTCACCATGTGACTGAGGAGAACATGCAACCTGAAACAAGGAAATGTTTGTGTATTACTGAGTATTATTACCTGTACAAGGAAGATAATGAGAAAATAGAAGTTCGCTATCCTCCTGAATTGCTCAAACAGATTCTTGGGGACAAAATTCCAAATCGTGTACTGAAAAAGAAAGAAAAAAACAACACTTAGGATTTGCAGAAACAGGACAATGGCTAAGTAAAGGTTATTTAAGGAGTATATCAGCATGTTTCAAAAATTTATATCAAGGCTGTTTGCAACCTCTTGAAAGACAGCTAGTGTGGCAATCAGAAAAAATATAAGTTGATACACACATTTGACAATAAAACTAGCCCATTTCATATTGACAGTTTTCAAACTAGTGTAAAAAAGGTTTCAGTACAGTGGACACAAAAACACATATTGTATCTGCATGGTTGATGAAAATAGGACATCAAATTAAAATAGTACGAAAGCAAAACATTTCTCTCTTCTTGTCCGTAAAGGTTTTATCTTGTTCATATTCATTGCAGTTGCTTTTATGTCAGCATTGCTCACTGGTAGCTCCAAATACGTGCGGTTACGACAGCGTTCTCCAAACAAGTTGCTCTTAATTTACTCAATAAACAGGGAGTTTAAACAATTTTCTTTTACTCTATTAAGGTAAAAGTCACCACGTTAGTACAGAAGAACCCTGAAATCAAACTGTTTTCATTATGGGGGGAAAAAAATCAAGCGTTCAAATCAATTTTTCACTAATACGGGTGCATTAACTGTCCTGTCAATCATTTAATCAACTGCTTAATCAATGACGAGCATCACAGCTGGTGGCGGGAAGCAGCCTCTCTGGATTCTTGTCCTTTTGTTCACTCAGTTTTCCAACTGACCTATTAATCCTCTCACCAACACAAAAGTTCTACTGAGCTGGTCCTATTATCAACAAATCATGCACAAGCTTATCTCTGTCTCACCACACCAGAGCTCCAGACTAATGCATTTAACAGTGATCATGCTGGTGCCACAAATCAGCATATGAGTTTAGTGTTTCTGTAGATGACACCCTCTTTTTAGCCACCGTTGCTGTCACTGCACAAGCAAAATGTCAGGGTTCATAGCTTTATATCGAAGAAGTGTTTCATTAAAACACCTCATCCAGAAATAAATCTTTTTTACAATTGTGGCTTAAACGTTCAAAGTTTCAATGTGGTGCTTTTGCAGTGATGACACAGAGTAGAACCGCGGCGGACATGCGAAAAACAAAGATCTGAAGATTCATGACCGCAAGCAAAACATTTTCTAAAACAGAACTTCTACATTCTTGTGTCACAATCATGACACGTTTCCTCATTCTGGGTCATCTATCGTCAAAGCCTACAGTAATACCATCATGAAGGAAATTACAGTGCTGGCTCAAACATCTTTTGGTACCTTGGATGAGATGATTCTGTTGTCAGCAAAGCGTTGTGGTATGTAGTGGCCATGCTGGGGGAAACGGTTTGCTACATAAACCGTTCTGGTCTCACTCTGATGAGGGGGGTCAAAGCCCTGAGGAAAGAGAGAAGACAGACAAAAGGAGACAACAGGTTATTTCCATAACTCTTATTATGTCCCTTATAGTAGTAAGCTCAGTTGTTTTTTTCTCTTTATGCTTTTTCGTAAGTGGAATACAAGTTTGCTTTTTTTCTTTCATCCATCCATTTCATCAGGGCTGGAGTCCATCCAAGCTGACATTAGGGAGATGTGGAATGCATCCCGGACTGGCCACCAGTCCATCACAGGACTAACACAGAGTCAGACATCCATGCACACTCACAGCCAATTTAGAATCACCAATTAACCTACTACGCACGTTTTTGGACTGTGGAAGTGAGCCAGAACACCCGAAGAACCCAAGCAGCCACAGGAAACCAAGCAAACTCCATAAAGAAAGGCCCCAGCAAAGCTCAAAACAACAATCCTCTTGCTATGAGGTACCAGTGTTAAAAACTGCACCACAAAGTATATTTTATATAAGACATATCTTAATACGTACGGCAGTACTATTTCAAGGAAAAGGTGCTTATGAATATCCCAAATCAATAAATCATACAAATCACTTCTCAAAGAAAAACGTCCAAGATTCTCTTCTTCTTACATTTAAATTTTTTTTTTTTTTTTTTTTTTTAACTTTTTTTGCTTTTTAAACCAGAGAGGGCAGTTTGAATATTTCACCTCACCTCACTAAAACTTCTGAATCAGAACAGTTAAATTAGAAGGTAAATATAAATATTACTGAATAACGGTAATAAACTGTATGTTATAAATTTAATATCTCTTTATGAAATTGCACTAATTAGAGACTCTGTCACAGCCTTTAGACAGCAAGAACAAACAAGTAAAAAACAATAAATAGGCTTAACAAACTTTCAAAATATTTTAATCTTGTCAACTACATGAAAAACACAAATAACTGAAGGGAAATAACAATTCATTTTTCAGTGGAAGACTAGTCATATTTAAAACATAAAGATGTCAGACTAAATCGTAACTATAGGCAGGTAACTGACAGAGCCAACAGAATGCCACATAAAGACCTTATTTTAAAGCCAAAGTCACTTAATATTGTTGACTGGGCAGAAGTGTGACTAACTGCCGAAAGTATAGGCTACACTAAAATCCGCCTGGGGCATCATCTTTCATTCAGTCTTGAATTTATTTGTGAGCACCAGGACTTTATTAAATAAGAGTTTATGTTGCTATGCATTCATTAAACTTTTTTTTGTGTCAAATTTATGATCAAGAATGACAGAAATTCAATTGTAATGGTACCAGCTACTAAATTTCTGGTACTGTGACATACTTGTTCCAAAGTGAAAGACAGAAAGAGAAGCAATACCAGACACTATACTAGTCCTACATCATGCAAGTTCTGATTACGGCATAATTTTTACAGGTCAAGACGGAGAACACAGTACACATCTCTTGCTCAACGACTACAACTCCCCGTTTCCATTTAAGTGCAATTTTCTGAGTAACCAGCCAGATTAAAAGATGAGCTTGTTTAAAGCACGGTTTACGCATTAAGACAACTTTATCTGGTCATTTTAACACATTGTCATGGTAGGTGGAACCATGACAATTGTGAATTTCCCACTCCCACTATGTCTTTCTAATTATAATGGAAAATGGGTGTGGTCTAAGATAGTTTAATCACATTTGTTTAACACTGGTTTATATTATTAGGCAATTTCTGTCATTTTTCATCACCACATGCTGGGATGTATTTTTCATCAGGTTTCAGCTCAAACATTATCTGACAGTGTCTTTTGGGTAACACCCTTCTTCTATACTGAGAAGGCTAAAGCCACAGCTTACAATCATTTGCAAATGCTATGACGTAGGTTTAACAAACACACACACAGGCACGCACATGCATACACACACGCACAGAGGAATGTATCCGGGCCACGTCTCTCCCTCCCACACAGATTCGACCCTGTTCAGGGCCATCTTCTGCTACTGTCATGTTACTTTAAAGATAAATGCGCCACACGTAATGCTAAGAGTCACAAATTCATATCACTTTCTTTCTTGAACACATGCAATATACTTTACATTGTCGTATTTAACAAAGCAGCAATAGCTAGGAGGTCTTCTTTTTAATCTCTTACAGATACTGTAATCCTAAAGTACAAAAATCACATCATCAGTCTTTCATTTTCAGGGTACCATAAGCACTCTGTATACAAACAGTGTCCTTGCTGTCTCTGGCATTGAGTCAGTGATCCACTTGTAGAAATGAAAACAATATGTTGAGGATTTTCTATTTGTGTTGATCCATTCCTTTCCATTTTGCTCACAGCTTTCTACAAATGGTCCAAATGAGATATTGCTCTCAGTTTTCTACATTTATATTTATCTTAGTCTGATGGTTTCCTTGGCTCCAAGCTAACAGAGATTAGACAAAAAGTGGCCACAGAGTAGAGTAGGAAAAACAGCCAAATGCATGTTTAAATTAACTTCCACCCTCTAAATGTTTAGTCACAGATTCCATAAAGTACATCTGATTCATTATTTCTTTTCACCAAACACTTTTATACGTAACAGTACTGACTGCAAGTATTCTGGGTAAAAAAAATATATCTTGGACTTCTATGATGAAACATTCATGGCAAAACATGTTAAAATTAAAGCAAATTCAACTGTTTGTTACATTTGACCACTACATTATTAGAATAGAAACCACATATTCAAACATACACGGTACGTACTAGAAACTAGTCTCTCCAGCATACTGACCCAGTCAGTCATGACCGACAACAACAATTCAATACAGCTGTAATGTTTTGCAAAGGATCTGAACATGAAAACCATGAAAACCTTTTAAACCAACATCCTGCATCAGATTAAGATGAAAATACAGCACAGCAGAGGCAGCTTAATGTCACCCTTTATAACTTGAGCTGCTGAAGGCAGGGAGAACATGCATGACACTACTACTGTTTTTAAACACAGATTACTAGATGGTTCCCATAATGCAGTTAAACTTCAACAGACATTAAGTAAAACAGGATTTTGCATAAACAAATATAAACCAGTACATCAAGGTACTAAGGAGCCAGGAAGTAAAGGCTGAAATCCAGAAATCCCCACATCTAGCAATACAATTGTTGAGTCAGTGGCATTGATCAATGAGTCCGATAGCCTATGGTAATCTTGTACTTTAGGACAGGAAACATCTTACTTAATGCACCTTTACATGATTGCTGTAAGGGATTGCTGCTGGAGGAGACTTCTTATTCACCACCCGTTTTTTTAGACAGTCTAAGGAGTCCTTGCTCAGCACCACATCAATCATCAAACAGTAAAGTTGCTTAATCATTAATATCTCTTCACACAGTAACTCAAGCTAGCCTAATGGCAGACTGAGTACACACAGCGTCCTGTGTAACAGCAAGAAAGCAGCCTTGGTAAAAACAAGGGAAGCACCTTATTCAATGCTTCTGTAAGCACCCCACTGCAGCTTTTATACAGTCAATGCTTTAGAGTTAAGCTAATGACACTTTATACTTAAAAGGTCTTACTCTTTATACAGTTTCTGGATCACCCTGTTGAATTAGCAAGTCAACTATCAAAGAAAACAGAAGTGCACAAGACTGATAACATCCGGGGTCATTTAAAGTTAATAGAGCTTCAGCAACAAGAAAAGAGCTGGCTGATATATCAGGATGTTCCTAATGGTTAATACCACCTCTGCTATTTAGTCTATGGCCTCTTATCACTAGCAGCAAAGATAAGCAGTGTTAGAATGATCAGACGGTCGAAAGTCTAATGAAACTGTAACAATTCTCAAATGCTTCAATGTAACACACCAAATGACAATGTGACTTGGTGGTAATAAATGTTGGGAGTAAATAAGTAAGGAGTCAAGTCAATCCTGTCTCAAACTCCATACACGTACACAAAAGTCATGGCTTGGTATGTACCTTGATTTTGGGTCATGTTTCAGTTTCTGTTCAACACTAAAGAAAAATAAACTAGAGACACACAAACAACAACATTGTGTCATGTCTAAAACTAATAAAAACTGCTCAGAGTTTGCCCCGTTTTCCCGGCTAACCCGAACAGCATGCTAAGGCTGACAGACAACCTTTGGCGCACTGCCTAAACATTTACAATCTGTGCGGTTCTGCAGAAATAAGTACAAGTCTGACTGGAGTTGCTTGACTTAATTGACAATCATGATTATTTTAAACAATACTGTGATCATTATTATTCATTTTTTTAGGGGCAAAACATTTTTATTGAATAAACAGAACTCTGCTAGCACTTCCATGTTTTGCTACATTCTTGCCAATGTGTAAACCTCAGCAAGTCTTCCCACAGTTACTGTAGGCAACTTAAACAACATTGTGACCAGACCTTACTTTGATCAGAGTAAAATAGTGCTCTAGTGTAAAATTTACTACACAAGCTGCTATTATGCAGAGTTCTCTATGTGCAGGGCTTTTCATGAGCAGAGGACACATTTTAAACATTAATACTGTAGTCAATCATATGCATTTAACTGTGATCATAATTAATGTTTATTTAACCGCAAACAGTAAGCGTTTAAACCAGAGTACACATACTTTAGCACCCACACTAACAACTGATTTCTATACTAAATGATAACAAAAACAGATACACCTCGTTCTCACATCAGGATTATCTTTGGAATGCATGTTTAATGCTACTTTCTGTTAATACAATTGATGTCATTAATACGGAAAAGTCAGCAGTTAAGACTAGTGACTGTTCTGTTGGTCCACAATATCTTAGTTACTCCAAGCAAATGAGTCTTGCTTCCCTCTAATGCCAATAAAAAGACAACTGCCTGCTACAGACAGAGCTGTAACAGGTAGCCTAATTAACAATCCATGCCTTAAATGTTTGAGGAAGAAAAACATGAGCACTGTACAAACATGCAGTAGATGGACCACACTGCTAATTCCCAAGGCAGGAAAACCATCACTAAACTCTACATGCGTTAGATGAATACATCACTTATTACACACACAGTCTAA